GTTCGATTCCGGCCAAGGGCACATGCCTGGTTTGTGGGCACATCCCCCCAGTAGGGGCCGTGCAGGAGGCAGCCAATCAACGATTTTATCTCATCATTGAGGTTTCTCTCTCTCCCTTTCTCTCTGAAATCAATAAAAATATATATCTTAAAAAAAAAAAAAATATATATACATATTTTTTATTGATTTCAGAGAGGAAGGGAGAGAGAGAGAGAGAGAAACATCCATGAGGAGAGAGAATCACTGATCGGCTGCCTCCTGCACGCCCCACACTGGGGATCGAGTTAGCAAACTGGACCTGTGCCCTGACCGGGAATCGAACCGTGACCTCCTGGTTCATGGGTTGACGCTCAACCACCGAGCCACACCGGCCGGGCATGGCTGTCCCTTTTACCACGACGGAGGGACAGCCAGGAAACTGCCTGACTTCCTGCTTTGGGAGGGTCTTTTGGGTTCAGAGCGTTAGGAGGGATTTGAAGATCGGAGTTTGATGAACGGACACAAAACGTGGCTTCCTCCTTCTCCTGCCTGTGTCTTCTCGCCCGCCTGTGCCCCGTCTTCCTCCTCATTTTCGAGATCAGAGGAATGCAACTTCCTGTTTAGCTTCTCGTGCTAATTTGAAGGCTCTGGATAAAGCCAGGAAGCAGGAAATTACAGCCTGAGGCCGAGGACTGGAGAAGGGAAAACCTGTGGCATCCAAAATGACACGTTCACGGGACTCTGAGAAGCCAGCCTTACCTCCGCCACGTGAAGCACACGCCCCTCCCGGGTTCTGCAGGAGGAAAGCCGCGCCGGCGTCGGAAGGGAAGCAAAAGCCATAAGTACTTTCCCACCAGACCCTTTGTATCACACGTCTAAACCAGCGGTTCTCAACCTTCCTAACGCCGCGGCCCTTTCATACGGTTCCTCATGTGGTGGGGACCCCCAACCATAAAATTATTTTCGTGGCGACTTCATCACTGTCATGTTGCTGCTGTTATGAATCGTCATGTAAATATCTGATAGGCAGGATGTATTTTCATTGTGACACATGGAACATCATGAAAGCATAGTGATGAATCACAAAAACAATATGTAATGATAGATGTGTTTTCCGATGGTCTGAGGCGACCCCTGTGAAAGGGTCATTCGACCGCCAAAGGGGTCGCGACCCACAGGTTGAGAACCGCTGGTCTAAACGCAGGGCGTGTCCCTGTATGGAACCACTGTATGTGACTCAGCAGTGAAACCTCCAAATAGCACGTGTTACAGTCAGGCCTCACGCGAGCGTGACTCTCCCCCAAACCCCCGCTTGTGCAGGTTTGAACTCACGCTTAGTGTTTCCGTTGCGTTCCGGGCAAAGTCCCGTCTCCACACAGGATCCCCGCATTGGAAAGAGCGTCACTCCCTTCACTGGGAATCTTCTAGCGAGGATTAGAGACGGCGTTCAATTTAGAAAACCTTTTCCACTCCGCAGGGCGCCGGTTGATAGGACGCTGGGAGAGCGATCGTCATTCCCAGCTCGTCATGGCGTTGCTGTAGACACCCCAAGGGGCTGGAGAAAACTCGAAGAATGAAACAATGAAGGGAGGTCCCTGCTTCTCAAACCAGGTGGAACCGTTAGGGCTGATCGCTAGGACAACAAATGATCAATTTGAACCACGCTTTGATCGTGAAACCACCGGTTAATAATGTGGATACCTGTTAGTAATGTGGATTGACCCTCTACCGGTTAATAATGAGGATTTTGTCATCAAAGAAAACACGATAATTTCAAGAGAAACATCAAAAGTGCTTTGTTCAAAGTCACGTCCGTCGCTGGCTACACATTTCCCCATCTTTCAGGTCATTTGTGGAGACCGTCCCAATAGAACTTTTCTTGTTTTGAGGCAGACCATTCAGAGACCCCATTTCCTACGTCTTCGTACGTTTTGTGGTGCTGCTCAGAAAGCGCGGGTGCCGTCGATCGGAACATCTGAGGGAGCGAGGGCTGGTGAACAGGGCGGGTGGGTTCATGCTCCCCAGGCAAGATCTTTCCACGTGTCTTTAACTGGTTTTGAAGTGTGTGATGGTGTGTCATCATGAAGCAACATTACGTTGCCGTGTCCTCTGGCCCATTCTGGTGGATTTATGATTAAAGCGTGGTTCAAATTGATTATTAGCTGTCGGTAGCGATCAGGATTAACGGTTTCACCTGGTTTGAGAAGCTCATAATCCACCACACCTTCCTGATCCCACCAAACGCAGAGCAGTGTCTTCCTTCCGAAGCGATTTGGCCTTGCAGTCCATGTTGATGGTTGACCTGGATCAACCCATGGTTATGTGCTTTTGGGATTCTCAAAATAAATCCACTTTTCATCGCCAGTCACAATTCGATGCAAAAAAGGCTTTCTTTCGTGCCGGTGAAGCCACATTTTACTGATGACTTTTCGGTTTTCCATTTGTCTTTCGTTCAGTTGATGTGCCACCCACTTTCCTTCCTTTAAAATCCTTCCCATTGCTTGTAAACGACCGGAAATTGTTTGCTGAGCAACATTGAATCTTTCTGCGAGTTGTTTTTGAGTTTGACACGCATCTTCACCCAATAATGCTTGTCATCGTTGGTCCTCAAACGTTTTCGGTTGACCTGGATGTTCTTTGTCTTTCACATCAAAATCATTCCTTTTACAGCGTTTAAACCAGCGCCCACAAGTATCTTGAGATGGAGCATGTTCACCATAAGCTTCCCGAAGGATGCGATCACTGTCAGCAGCACTTTTCTTCAAAATAATGAATTAAAACTTCCCGCAAATGCTCTTTTTTCGGCACAAAATTCGACATTTTTTTAAAAAAATATTTTTTTATTGATTTCAGAGAGGAAGGGAGAGGGAGAGATAGAAACACCCATGATAAGAGAGAACCATGGATCGGTTGCCTCCTGCACGCCCCCTTACTGGGGACCGAGCCCGCAACCCGGGCATGTGCCCTGACCAGGAATCAAACCTGTGACCTCCTGGTTCATAGGTCGATGCTCAACCACTGAGCCACACTGCCCAGGCAAAAATTTGACATTTTTAAGCGTAAAAATATCTATGATGTTAACACCTTCAGCAAATGTGACATATGAAGTTTTGAAGCTTGTTGCCAATACAACAAAACAGCACACATATCAAATCGCATCTATATCAACATACGTGTGACTCCGTCTATTGGAAAAAAAAAATCTGCATTAGTAACCGGTCCACCTGGTAATTGCTTTTGGATCGAAGGTGTTATGGAAACACCCGCTCTCCTCATGGCATCCTTCCCTCAAACATGTTAAAATAGAAATAAAAAATGAGGACAGCGCTTAGGGAGGCAGAAAATCAGGCTGCCCATGAAACGCTGGCTTTGTTCAACGGGGTGTGTGTGTTTTCAGAATTTGGGGAAAAAAAAACAACAACCACCTTTGACCTAAAGCTGTGTGATGCGTACAGCGTTCCAGCCAAGTTATAAATCTCCGTGGAGGGCGGCTGGGGTGGCAGATGTTGGGCGGGACGGTGCCCTCCCTGCCGCTCGACGGCAGCAACAAAGAGGCATTCACAGCCCCACGGCCACCTCGCGTGTGTTCCCGTCTGAGCGGAAGGTGGCTGGGGTGGTGAGTGACGTTAATCCAGAAAACCGAGGGGCGTCGGGGGGGGTGTGTGTTCAGATGTCCCTGGCATCGCCCCGTTCGTGGGACTCGCGTCTGTGTCCTCAGGTCCCAGTTGCATCCACAGAACCAAGACACTCCCGGCTCCCCGGGCTGCACACCCGACTTGGTTCTTATTTAATTTCATATTCTGCCTTTCAATTGTATTTATGTACTTTTTTATTTCCGAGAGGAAGGGAGGGGGAGAGAGAGAGAGAGAGAGAGAGAGAGAGAGAGAGAGAGAGAGAGAGAGAAACATCAATGAGAGAGGATCCTGGATCGGCCGCCTCCTGCACGCCAGCCGGGCTGTTCATTATTCACTTTATCGTCCCGATGACCTGGGCCACGGCTGGGCCCCTACCACCCTCTCCCTTTCGCACCTTTTCCCTGATCAGTAGCACCACCCAGCCTCCAAGTTCCAAAAACGGAGTTATTTACTCGTTCAGCGGGTTTGTGGCCTCGACCGGGAGCCCGGCTGGGAAAATCGTGACGCGCAGGGGGGGCCGTGTGAGCCCGTCCTTAGGTCCCATCCTTGCCCCGAGAGGAGGACTCCCTGCCACTTCCTGTCTCCCACTGTTCTCGGCTGTAAAATACAGGAAGTCGTTTTGTTTTTTTTCCCTTCAAATCGCAGACTCCGTGGGCGTGTCTGTGCTGTCGTCCTGGGAGGGGACGCACTGTAGTCTGGCCGCCTTCCCGCGCCTGCCTCTTCCCTGTCCGCCGCCCCCCAGGGCCCTCTGCGCGTGGGAACCTCCGCTCTCGGTCCGACCCGCCTGGCGTGGCCCCGCACACGGAGCTCCGCACTTTCACCCACGTGCGCGGGTCTCATGCCTGCCCCTGGCCTCGCCCCGTGATGGACCCTTGGGTCATAATCCCATAACAGTGACAAGCTAGGCCACCGTGAAGGTATGTTGCCAAGGAAACAAAAATCTTAAATTTCAACAAGATACTGTGGGAATTAGGGCGATGGTGTTAAAGTAGATTAGAAAGAGCCTAAAAGATGATATGAAAGTATTTTTAGGCCGGCCGGCGTGGCTCAGTGGTTGAGCGTCGACCTATGAACCAGGAGGTCACGGTTCGATTCCCGGTCAGGGCACAGGCCCGGGTTGGGGTTGTGGGCTCGATCCCCAGCAGGGGGCGTGCAGGAGGCGGCCAATCCATGATTCTCTCTCATCATGGATGTTTCTCTCCCTCTCCCTCTCTCTAAAATCAGTAAAATACATATATTTTTAAAAGTAGGGATCTTCTCTTCATGGTACCGTATATTAATATGTTGATTAATTACCTCATTGTGGTGGCTGCATCAGTCATACCAATTCCAGACAAGAGGGTTTAAGGAAAGAATTAAAATAACTTTTAAAACCTGCGTCAGCTGTCTGACTAGTTGGTGGCCTTGAGTGAATGAGCTGTTATCATCCCACAAAGACGCCAGCCTCACTGTCCTACCAGGTGTTTGCAGGATGGGCCGCTGACGCCTGATCGCGGGCTGTAAGGTCCCTTCCTCGCAGGCGTTACTGCGTCCCTGATATGACCGCAGGTTTGAGAGCTGGGCGATGAGGTCATTATCAACACGGCGGCCTGGGGTCCTCCCTGACGGAGGTGGGAGCATGAGCCGTCTCTCTCTCTGCCTGGCGGCTCGGCTCCCGCCCGGACACGCCCAGCCTGTGGGGCTGGCACAGCTCCGGCACCACTTCTCACCACTAAGAGCGGATCCAGAATTCAGAGCAAGAGAAGGCCCGGTGTCACAGAGCTAGCCAACGCCTTCGGGGGCCCGGCCGGCGTGGCTCAGCGGTTGAGCATCGACCTATGAACCAGGAGGTCACGGTGGGTTCGATTCCCCGTCAGGGCACAGGCCCGGGTTTGCAGGCTCGATCCCCAGTGTGGGGCGTGCGGGAGGCAGCCGATCAGTGATGCTGTCTCATCATTGATGTTTCTCTCTCTCCTGCTCTGAAATCAATAACATATATTTTTTAAAAATGCAAAGGCTTATGTGCTTGCTACGGAAAGTGGGGGTTGCTGGGGGGGAAGGGGGTCCCTTTGAGAGGCTAGCCTTGGGAAAAAACGATTTCTAAAAGGAACAGTTTCTAGCCCAGCCACGGGGAGGAGGAGCAGCGACGGAGAAAGTCGGGAGAGGTTCGGGGAGAAGTGTGGGGCCCGGGGAGGGCTCCCGCCTGGACCGTGACGGCCCGTCCCGTGGCCCACGGCGCCCAGTCACCGGGGGGTTAATGCAGGGTTTTCTGATCCTGATGAGCATGTTCTCCTAACCGCTGCTCTGAAACTCAAATTATAGCTTTCCAGGAGGTTAAAAAAAAAGGGGTTGAGCGAATAAGCTGAGGTCTGCACAGGGATCGTATAACCGCCCTTCTGAAACCACGGCCTCGGCCTGGGGGTTTGGCCTTCCTCACGCCCCGTGTCCTCTCGCACGCATCCACACGGGGCAGCTGGCACGGAGGGTCCCTTGTCGGCTGGCAATGTGCACGGGATATAGAACGCGTCCCCTGAAATTGTCGTGCCAAGTGCGTCCTTGTAGGTCGAGGACTCACAAAGACTGGTGGCGGGCACACTCTCCACCTAGCACGAGAGACGGTCTGGACGGATGTAAGGAATACTGATATTCTGCCTGGCCGGCATGGCTCAGCGGTCGAGCACTGACCCATGAACCAGGAGGTCATGGTTCGATTCCCGGTTGGGGCACGGGCCTGGGGTTCAGGCTCCATCCCCAGTGTGGGGCGTGTGGGAGGCAGCAGACCAATGTTTCTCTCTCTATCCCTCTCCCTTCCTCTGTCTAAAAATCAATAAAATGAAAAAGAAATAATGAAATTTGCCCTGGCCGGTTTGGCTCAGTGGATAGAGCCTCAGCCTGTGGACTGAAGGGTCCCGGGTTTGATTCCGGGCAAGGGCACATGCCTGGGTTGCGGGCTCCATCCCCCAGCAGGCAGCTGGCCGGGCGATGTTTGACTTTTCTAGCTGGGAGGAGGTCATGTGCTTTAAGACAGGATATGAGCTCGGCGGTTGAGAGTCGACCTATGAACCAGGAGGTCAGGGTTCCATTCCCCGTCAGGGCACATGCCCGGGCTGCGGGCTCCATCCCCCACTAGGAGGCCTGCAGGAGGCAGCCGATCCATGATCCTCTCATCATTGCTTCTCTCTCTCATGCTTCTATCTCTCTCTCCCTTCCTCTCTGAAATCAATAAAAATACGCTAAAAACAAAAAAACAATGGCCCTCAAATGCTATCCCCTGTGCTCTCTGCCTCCACCGAGATGTCAGCTCGTACGGGTTTTCCAAGCCTCACCTACGAACGGATAAGGAGTGGCTGTAGACCCATAGGTGTGAGCCCAGTTTCCAGGCACCTGAGAAGGACGGGCGTGAGTCTTTCTGTTCGTGTCTCAACAGCTCGCGTTATGACCGCATTTCCTGTTGCGAGGCTGGGCTGAAGGCGAGCTCAGAATGGCCATGCAGGACGAGTGTGAATTCCACGGCGCTGGGCGACTGAGTCACGCCGCACCTTTCCTGCCCCGCCCTGCCCTGCCGAGTCCCCGGGGCTAGGCGTGTGTCCTTAATGCCATCTGCCCATCTGTGGCTCCCACCTGAGCTCCTACAGGTAAGGCTTCCGCCGCCCACCACGCACACGCCATCATCGCACCGTGTTGGTGGGGAGACAGAGCAGCGGGGGTTAACTGGACTGTGCTCTGAGGAGTCCTAATTGGGGACCTGAATATGAGCTTTTTAAAAACAAACAAACAAACAAACATGCCCTGGCCGGTGTGGCTCAGTGGATAGAGTGTCGGCCTGTGGACTCAAGGGTCCCGGGTTCGATTCCGGCCAAGGGGCGCATGCAAGGGGGTTGCAGGCTCCATCCCCAGTAGGGGGCGTGCAGGAGGCAGCCGATCCATGATTCTCTCTCATCATGGATGATTCTCTCCCTCTCTCCCTCTCCGCTTCGCTCTCTAAAATCAATAAAATTATATTAAAAAATAAAATAAGCAAACACATATTTTTATTGATTTCAGAGAGGAAGGGAGAGGGACAGAGAAATCAAAACATCCATGACGAGAGAGAATCATGGATCGGCTGCCTCCAGCGTGAGCAGGACCCCCACTGGGGTTCGAGCCCACAACCTGGGGGGAATCGAACCCTGACCTCCTGGTTCATAGGTTGACACTCAGCCACGGAGCCACGCCTGCTGGGCCCAGCTATGTCATTGGAGCAATAAACTTGCAGAGCCATCAGCCCCTTCCCCTCCCCCTCCTCCTCCCCATTGCTTCTGCACCACCAGTGGCTGGGGGCTCGTGGCCCCAGAGCCTGCCCATCAGAGGACCGTCAGCCGGGAGGGACCAAGCACCGAGACTGTGTTATTTTCTCTCCGGTGTCGGTGGGTGTGGCCGTGGCGGAAACTCGCCACATGAAACAGCCTCGACTTAATTTTAGAGCCATGCTGGCCAGCCCCCAGCGGCAGAACCCGCGTCCAGGCCCGCCGGGGGCCTGCGATCCCCCCACCCCCACCCCGGTCCCCGCCCCTTCCGTCGTCTTTCGGGACCGGCCGATGCTTTTTCGCCAACCCCGGCCCACGCGATCACGTCAGTTCTTCCAAGAGGATCCCCACGCCCGCCCCTCCCTGCAGAGACAGCCTCCCAGCCCAGATCCGGCTCCGGGCTTTCCCTCCAGCCGGGGAGCCGGGAAGGGGCGGGGACAGCGCGTGGAACCCCGCCCCCGGAGCTAGCCACGCCCCTCCCACCAGAGCTCCGCCCCCCGCCTTGGCACCGCCTTCCCGAGGCTCTAGGGCGCGGCCCCTCCCAAAACCCGGAGATGTAGACCGCGCTCCGCACGCCCCTCCCAGCAGCGGTGAAGCCGAGCCTGTGGGCAGGAAGCCCGACCCAGCGCTTGAGGAGCTGCAGGCGACACGGCGGGCCGGCGGCTCGGGCCTCCGACTCTCTAGACCCCGACGCTAGGGCGTGGCAGTAGGAGGGGCCCGCCTTCCCACCCAGGCAAGCTCTCTGCTCGCTCGGTCTCCTAGCAGCGCCAGGACGCGCAGGCGCTCTGAGTGCTGGGCCGCCGGGACGCGCAGGCGCTCTGAGTGCTGGGCCGCCGGGACGCGCAGGCGCTCTGGGTGCGGGCCGCTGGGACGCGCAGGCGCCCTATTACGAGGCGGTGGCGCGGGTGAGAGCTGAGTCCGGGCGCTGGGGGGGGTGGCGGGGGGAGAGGGGGAGGGTGGAGGCGGCGGGGGCGGGGGGCGCCGACGGCGAGGGGGGCCGCCCTTGGACTCTGCATTCCCAGCGTTGAGCCCCCCGGAAAGCCGCGCTCCACGGGGCCTGAAGATTGTCACTGCAGACCCCCAGCTGCATTTTTTGTTGGAATCGAGCCGTTCGCCCCAAGACTTACGTTTGAGAAAAATGTGTAAGAGCCTATATGATGGTCATTGGCACAGACGCTCCTGGGGACCGCGGGCACCCGGGGCCCTGACACAGGGCTGCCGGGAGCCGCCTGTGGAGAGACCCAGCCTCGGATGTGCTCTTGTTTATGGGGGACACGCACCTGCCCGGGACCCCGCAGGTCTGTGCTCGGGCGCCCCGGCTCCGCGGCTCGTTACTTTCTGGGTCAGAGTAGCATTTCCCGCTGTGCTTGGCGGTTTTGACTGTGAAATTCCCATTCGTGAGGTGTCCCCCTCCCCCCGTTTGTGAAAATGCAATAGAATGTCCTCCTGAAGGTGTGTGATGTCTGCTGTTGCCGAGCGCAGGTGGACAGGAAGCAGGAGTCGGCTGTGTGCACGGGCTGCGTGTGTCTCCCTGTGTCTGCATGTCTGTCTCTGTTGGTGTGTGTTGGTATGTGTGTCCATGTGTCTCTGTGCATGTATAAGTGTGTGTATGGGTGTACGTATGTGCATGTATAAGTACATGCATGTGTCTCTGTTGGTATGCATGCATGTCTGTGTGGCTGCATGTATAAACATGTGCATGTATGTTTGTATGTGTGCCTGTGTTGGTATGTGTTTTCATGTGTCTCTGCATGTATAAATGTGTGCATGTGTCTCTCTCGGTATGCGTGCGTGTGTGTATATGTGTGTGCGTGTATGAACGCGCACATGTGTTGGTATGCGCGTTTGTGTGCATGCGTGTGTATGTGGGGAAAGGATGCTGTCTTTTCATCAGAGAAAGCTGGCGAATGGAAGAAAAGCTCCACACAGCTAGTGTCTTGATACTTCCTCTAATCCTTTGAGGCAAAACCCGGGACACCAGGCTGATTCCAGGATGACCACCTGCTACTCTGTCCTGGGCACTTCATTGTGTTGACAGTAAACCTCACTGTATGATTTCCTCCACAGAAGATCGAAGGATGTTTGTCCCGAGGTCTCTCAAAGTCAAGAGGAACGCCCCCGACGGAGGCCAAGGCTGCGTGGCCAAGAAAGCGAGACCAGAAGCCGACGTCGTGCGGTGGGATGAGGGGAGTGGCCCCCCGGCGGACGCTGTCCCTACAGGAGACGCCGCAGCTGCCCACAGGCCACAGGCGGGGCCCGAGCCGGGCGCCCGGGACAGCCTTCCCTCCGACGAGCCTGTCAAGTCCTTTTCGAAAATGCAGCGCGCGGCGGAGCCCGGGGAGCCCGTGTGCGTCGTCTGTGGCCGTTACGGCGAGTACATCTGCGACAAGACGGACGAAGACGTGTGCAGCTTGGAGTGCAAAGCGAAACATCTCCTGCAGGTGAAGGAAAAGGAAGAGAGGTCGGCGCTCAGCGGCCCCCCGGGAGCCGGCTCGCAGCCGCAGGCCCCGCTCCTGACGCCCTACGTCTACCAGGAGCACCCCTTCATCGCCAGCCTCGGGGAGGACCAGGTCGAGAACCTCAGACACCAGCTGGGCATCTGCGTCCAGGGGCGGGCTGTCGCCAGGCCCATCGTGGACTTTGAGCACTGCGCCTTCCCCGAGACCTTGAGCCTCAACCTGACGGCGGCCGGCTACGAGGTGCCCACCCCCATCCAGATGCAGATGACTCCCGTGGGCCTCCTGGGGCGGGACATCCTGGCCAGCGCGGACACGGGCTCGGGGAAGACGGCCGCCTTCCTCCTGCCTGTCATCATGCGCGCTCTGGTCGAGGTGAGTTCAAATTCACCCGGAACACGGGAGGCGTCCACCCACCTCCGCGCTTACCTGGGTTCAAGTTGCAAAGCGACCCTGAATCTTTAGCGTTGAGGAGTGTGTCTGAGAAATGTAACTTGAGGGAATTTAAAAATATATATATATTTTTATTGGTTTCAGAGAGGAAGGGAGAGGGAGAAGGAGGGAGAGATAGAAACTTCAATGATGAGAGAGAACTGTTGAACTCTTCCTCTCTGAAATCAATAAAAAAAAAAAAAAGATATATATTTAAGCCCTCGCCGGTTTGGCTCAGTGGATAGAGCGTCGGCCTGTGGACTGAAGGGTCCCAGGTTCGATTCCAGGCCACGTACCTGGCTCCTTCCTGGCCTGGGCCCTGGTCAGTGGGTGTGCAGGAGGCAACCAATTGATGTGTTTCTCTCACGTAGGTATTTCTCTCTGTCTTTCCCTCTTTCTCTCTCTCTGAAAATCAATGAAAAAATATCCTCAGGTGAGGATTAAAAAAAGTTTTATATCTATATCTATATGGCCACCAGAGAGAGGTGACACTTTTACCTATAGAACACCAAACAATGACAGCAGATTTCTGCCGATTAGAAATCACGGAGGCCGTGCTATTGTTCAAGTGCTGCCAGGGAGGAACGGCCAAACTGGAATTACATGCCCAGTGGAGACGTTCTCTGTAACGATGAGGAAACCAAGACGTTTTCAGAAGGAAAACGAGAGGCACCGGTCACCAGCCTGCCAGTCCTGAAGGAATGGCTAAAGGAAGAAAGGCAACGGTGAGAGAGAGAATCTGGGGCCACCAGTGAGGAACAAAGAACAGTAAAAAAGCGTAAAATAGGGGTAAACATAATACTTTTCCTCTTGAGTTATCTACATCATGTTGTGTGGTTAAAGCAGCAATTCTAGCAAAACCCTATGTAATAAAGAGCTAATACGCTAGTTAGACCTGCCGGCGGCGGTGGAACGACCTTCCGGAACGACCTTCCGGAACGACCTTCTGGAATGACCAGTGGGCGGGGCCGCGAGGCAGCTGGGGATGCGAGGGCCGAGCTCCTTGCATGCATTCCGTGCGCCGGGCCTCTAGTCTACACACACACACACACATGCATGTATTTTTTTTAAAGAATTTAGTTCATATCCAAAGGGATAGACGGCTGGTGTCTCTAGGTCTGTTTTCCGTCCTTGCAGGGCACGTGTCCGTCCGCGCTCATCCTCACCCCAACGAGAGAGCTGGCCATTCAGATAGAGAGACAAGCCAAAGAGCTGATGAAGGGCCTGCCGGGCATGAAGACCGTGCTGCTGGTGGGGGGCCTGCCCTTGCCGCCCCAGCTGCACCGTCTGCGGCAGCACGTCAAGGTGAGCGGCCCAGCCCGCGGGGCGTCCTTCAACGGCCATGTGGCCGGGGGTTTCCTTCCTGGAGAAGCCTTGTGTGTGACCCTCGGTGGCCTTTGCAGTCTCGCCTACTCAGAGTGGGTGTTTCTGAAGTCGGTTCCCTGTGGGGAAGGGGAGGGGCACGTTCATGGATGCGCGCTGCACGCCGTGAGTGTCGGATGCTCACACAGGCGGCTCGTTGAACCGCCGCACGTGCGCCCTGACCTGGAATCGAACCCGCGGCCTCTTGGTACACGGGTTGATGCCCAACCACTGAGCCACACCGGCCGGGCTCCTCACGTGTATTTTTTTATTTGCTTTTCCCCTTTTACCCAGGTCGTCATAGCAACCCCGGGCCGCCTCCTGGACATCCTGAAGCAGAGCTCCGTCCAGCTCCGCGGCGTGAAGATAGCAGTTGTGGACGAAGTGAGTGACCGGGAACATGGGTCGCGTGGCGCCCTGTAGTTGGTGGGCTCTCTCTTTACATGTATTTTCGTGGATCTCAGAGAGGAAGGGAGCGGGAGAGAGAGATGGAAGCGTCCATGATGAGAGAGAATCATGGGTCGGCTGCCTCCTACACGCCCCACACTGGGCATCGAGCCCGCAACCCGGGCCTGTGCCCCGACCGGGAATCAAACCTTGACCTCCCGGTTCATAGGTCTGGGTTCAAACAGAGCCACGCCGGCCCAGCTGGCCTCTTTTCCTAAACTCGTCCCGTGCGGACCGCAGCTAAGCTGAGGCGTGGGCATGAAATCGAACCCTAGGCCTCCGTTTCCAAAGGGCAGAAAACAGACCCAGCCGCACTGTCGCCCGCACCTCCCGCTCTGTTTATCTGTGACTGTGTCCGAGTTGTGTCACATGGTTACACAGTGTCTACTTTCATGTAAACGTGTCTTTTTCCCAGGGGATCCTTCCTGTTTTGACAGGGTGGCAGCTGTTTCTGGGTAAGGGTTTTCCATTTGTTACCGGAGTCTTTTCTTGGGTGGCCCTGGGTTTAACGTCAAATCAGGCTCATGTGGAAATGATGTCTCAGCCTGGCCGGCGTGGCTCAGGAGTTGAGCGTCGACCTCTGAACCGGGAGGTCACAGTTCGATTCCCGGTCAAGGGCACAGGCCTGGGTGGCGGGCTCGATGCCCAGTCGGGGGCGTGCAGGAGGCAGCCGATCCGCGATTCTCTCTCATCATGGATGTTTCTCTCTCTCTCCCTCTCCGTTCCTCTCTGACATCAATAAACGAGATATGAAATAATAAAATAAAACGACGCTGTTTCAGGCCGACACCATGTTGAAGATGGGCTTTCAGCAGCAGGTGCTGGACGTCCTGGAGCACGTCCCCCATGACTGTCAGACCGTCCTGGTCTCGGCCACGATCCCCGCCAGCATCGAGCAGCTGGCGGGCCAGCTCCTGCGGGACCCCGTGCGGATCACGGCTGGAGAGAAGAACCGGCCCTGCCCCCACGTGCGGCAGATCGTGCTGTGGGTGGAGGAGCCCGCCAAGAAGAAGAAGCTGTTTGAGATCCTGAACGTGAGCAGCCACGCTGGGTAGCCCGGCCCGTAGGTCTTAAGAGGAGGAGTGTCGGGTGTAGCTTTCGGGGCATTTGGCTTAGGTTTCTGCTAACACATTGCTTTGCCTGTCTCAGAATCCTGTAAGAATCCATGATTTTTTATTTTTATTTTTTTTTCATTGATTTTTTTTTACAGAGAGGAAGGGAGAGGGACAGAGAGCTAGAAACATCGATGAGAGAGAACCATCCATCAGCTGCCTCCTGCACACTCCCCAATGGGGATGTGCCTGCAACCAAGGTACATGCCCTTGACCAGAATCGAACCTGGGACCCTTCAGTCCACAGGCCAACGCTCTAGCCACTGAGCCAAACTGGTCAGGGCGAATCCATGAAATTTTTAAAAAATACATATTTTTATTGATGTCAGAGAGGAAGGGAGATGGAGAAAGAGAGAGAAGGAAACATCCATGATGAGAGAGAATCACGGATCGGCTGCCTCCTGCACTCCCCCCACTGGGGGTCACGTGTACAACCCGGGCGTGCGCCCTGACCGGGAATCGAACCCCCGTCTCCCGGTTCAGAGGTCAACGCTCGACCACTGAGACACACCAGCCATGCTCATCGCGCCCAACTTTTAAAAGTTATTTGTGCGTAGAAGGGCCGTAGGCTGTTCTGGCTTCTGTGTGTGCATATTTCAAAGAAAAAACACTCATGTTGACAGGGTATGCCTTGTCCCTCCTTCATGGTGCGTACGAATCTGCTGGTAACCAGCTGGCACCGGTGCTTGCAGGAGAACTACCCGTGGTGGGTGTTCCCGAGTAACTTGAACGTGCATTCTCCCCCCCCGCCCTCCCCCCCAGGATAAGAAACTCTTCCAGCCGCCCGTGCTGGTGTTTGTGGACTGCAGGCTCGGGGCGGACCTGCTGAGTGAGGCCGTGCAGAAGGTCACGGGCCTGAGGAGCGTGTCCATGCATTCGGAGAAGCCGCAGGCGGAGCGGAGGAGCATCCTGGAGGTGCGACGTGGCCCCCTGTCTCATCTCGGTCCCGAGACCCGTGTTGCCTCATTTTCAAGAGACACGGGAATAACCAGCCGGTGTTTAATGCAGACCCCTTTATTTAAAAAAAATAGATTTTTATTGATTTCAGAGAGGAAGGGAGAATTTATAGATAGAAACATGCAATGATGAGAGAGAATCATCGATCGGCTGCCCCCTGCACGCCCCCTATTGGGTAATTGAGCCCACAACCTGGGCATGTGCCCTTGACCGGAATCGAACCCAGGACCCTTCAGTCCGCAGGCTGACGCTCCATCCACTGAGCCAAACCGGCCAGGGCTGGACCCTTTTTTAAAAATCCTCACTCGAGGATATGTTTTTCCTGATTTTAGATAAAGAGGGAGGAAGAGGGAGAGAAACGTCCATCGGTTGTCTCTCGGGATGGAACCGGGGATGGAACCCGTAACCTCCGTACGCGCCCTTTGCCCGATCGGGAAGCAAACGGTAACCTTTTTGGTGTAGGAGATGCTCCAACCCACTGAGCCACACCTGCCAGAAAGGAAGGAAGAGGGATGAAGAGAAATAGCAATGATGAGAGAGAGATATCGATCGGCTGCCTCCTGCACGCCCCCTATTGGGGATCAAGCCTGCAACCTTGGCATGAGCCCTGACGGGGAATCAAACTGTGACCTCCTGGTTCACAGGTAGACCTGAGCCACGCCGGCCAGGCTAAAGCAGACCTTTTTTTTTAACGACTAAGAACTCCAGGCAGGCAGTGACCGAAGCTGACTGTCCCTCCTGCCAGCATTTGTGTTTGGGGAGCAGGTCAGCCTGGTCCCCAGGGATCGTCCGCTAATGAGGTGACTAATTCAGAAGCCAGCGTTTCTGTCATCAGGTCAGCGTGGCTGGGGCAGAGCCTAGGTCACCTCTGGGAAAGGTCTGCCCGAGGAAAGGAATAGAGAACACCCCGGTGGTGGGGGGCCGGGGGGGCCCTGGGAGGAACCTGGGCCACACCCACTTCCCCCGGTTCACCAAGTTTCCTTCCCGAAAAGATACTGCAGAAATGTTGCAGGAAGTATCGGGAAAAGGAAAGGACCTCAAGTCTATGAAACGCCAAGAGACACAGTTCTCAGGGGTCACCAACCTTTCGCACCCCAGGGACCACCAGTGTAACCCTAACCCTGACCCCAACCCTAAAGCGGTCCGCGGCCCACCGGCTGGCGACCGCTGCCCTGAACAGCGCGTTTTCTCGCTTTCCTGGAAGGGCTTGCTCGGCGGAGCCCATGAGGTGGTGGTGAGCACGGGCGTCCTGGGACGAGGGCTGGACCTGGTCAGGGTCAAGCTGGTCGTGAACTTCGACATGCCCTCGAGCATGGACGAGTACGTGCACCAGGTAAGGGGGTTTCCGTGTGACCGCGTGACTTTCCTCGGGCACAGCCCTTGTCAGGGTAACGACGAGTAAGAAAAAGGCCCGTGATGGACAGGAAACTTGATTTTTACTTATTTTTGCTTTTAAGACGTATATGCCTATAAACGAAATCTTGGTTTTAAAGACTCTGTGCCTTACGTAGTAACTAGAGACGATAACCTACCATGCCATTTACATTTTTAGTTGTTTTTATATATTGTTTTATTTCCTTTGTATTCCTTTTTAAATTTTAATATATTTTTATTAATTTCAGAGAGGGAGAGAGAGACGGAAACATCCATGATGACAGAGAATCATGGATCGGCTGCCTCCCGCACGCCCCCCCACTGGGGATGGAGCCCACAACCCGGGCCTGTGCCCTGACGGGAATCGAACCCGGGACCCTTCAGTCCGTAGGCCGACTCTCTACCCACTGAGCACCACTGGCTAGGGCTCTTTTATATTTCTTCTCTTCAGTGAGCATGTTAAATGGCTTTTAGAACCAGAAAAAGCAAGGGGCCAGGGGAGGCTTTGTTTTACGTGGGTACATCTGGCCGGAATACAAGGAGCCCCACAGTGTTTGTTTTTGAGGAATCTTGTCTTCATCTCCTCTTCACATCCGTGTGGCTCTAGTCTTTCCCTTTTCAGGTGCGTCTCTCCCCTTTGCTGCCAGAGACGCCAACCGGCAGCTCTCCTTTCGGCCGGACACAGAGCCTCCTCTGAGCCGTTATCTCCCCGGCGCTGCTGGCTTCCTTCTCCGGAGTCACTTACCGGCCCTGCGAGGAGGCCTTTCTCCGGTGCTCGCAGAGGCCCCGGGGGGCCACCTTCCCCCGGGCCGCCCAGGAGGCTGCAGGCCGGACGAGGTCCTCTGCGGTGCTCGGGCTCAGTGACACGGCAGCACCCCCACCCCGCCGCCTCCCCCTGCTTGTCAGAGAGCTGACGATGGCCCAGGAGGCCGTTTTCAAATAACCGAGGCTCGTTTCCTTCCAGACGTGGAGTCGTGTTGTGTGGGAATCTTTCTAACATTTTAAAATATGTAAGAGGCGCCAGCAGGTGTTTCTCAGTGGTTGAGCGCCGACCTCTGAACCAGGAGGTCACGGTTCCATTCCTGCTCAGGGCACGTGCCCGGGTTGCGGGCTCGATCCCCAGTGTGGGGCGTGCAGGAGGCAGCTGATCAGTGATTCTCTCTCTCTCTCCCTCTCCCTTCTTCTCTGAGATCAATAATAAAATATATTTAAGAAAATGAAATAAAATAGGTAAGAAGCTGCTCTGCGTCCTGGGCAGAGGGTGCTGCTAGAACGCCCTCACCTTTCCTCCGGTCCCAAGGTCAGTCCTCTGCGTTCATTACTCGCGGAGCAGCGCGCAGTCACACCGCGATGGCCGCCCGCCGTCAGGGTGGCTCCGACCGTGCTTGTCTGTCTGTCTCCGTCCTTGGAGCACACGTGCACACAGGGACAAGGAACACGAATGAGTAAGCCCTCACCTCGGAGTGGTCACCTGAGCTCACGGTGCAGAAATGCACGTGCACGTGTGTGCACACGTGTGTACATGTGTGCACATGTGTGCATATACACATAGGTGTTTGGGCTGTTTCTTTTAAATATATTTTTATTGATTTCAGAGAGGAAGGGAGAGGGACGGAGGGAGAGAAACATCTATGTTGAGAGAGAATCATCGATCGGCTACTTCCTGCACGCCCCATTCTGGGGATCGAGCCCACAACCCCGGGCATGTGCCCTGACCGGGAATCTCCGAACCCGGGACCCTTCAGTCCACAGGCTGACCCTCTATCCACTGAGCCACACCAGCCAGGGCTGGGGTATTTCTTAAAAAAAGATGCCAGTGGCAGCCACTAGAGTGATTTCACAAATATATTGAGAGACCAGTTCCAGCAGCTGCTCTCGGAACAACCGTTCGTCCCGGGCAAGCGTCTTCACACCCGGGTCCTCCGCTCCTTCCTCGGGGCATTGGGGTGTCACGGGGACCATCCTGAAACCCCCCTCTGCCTCCCGCTCCAGGTCGGCCGCGTGGGGAGGCTCGGCCAGAAGGGCACGGCCATCACCTTCATCAACAACAACTCCAAGCGGCTCTTCTGGGACGTGGCCAAGAGGGTGAAGCCCACGGGCTCCCTCCTGCCGCCGCAGCTGCTCAACTCCCCGTACCTGCGCGACCAGCAGCGGCGGGAGCAGCAGGGGGACCGGCAGGCCCCGAACCCGCTGGTCACGGGCGCCAACCTCATGGACATCATCCGGAGGCACGACAAGAGCAGCGCCCAGAGGTGACGCCCGCGCCCCGGACGCTCCGGTTCGGGACGTTCTGCACGCTAGGACGCGCGGTTTGAGGAACCGGGAGGGGACATGAAATAAAAATGGAAAAAAAAATTGGGGGAGGTTTAGACAAATATTTCTTTTTATTTATGTATTTATATTTTTTAAGGGGGGGAAAGGGACATCTATACTACTTTTAACAATAAAATGGAATTAAAAAAAAATTCCTGCCTGGTCACAGCAGCTCAGAGGTTGAGCATTAACCTATGAACCAGGAGGTCAGGGTTCGATTCCCGGTCAGGGCACAGGCCCGGGTTGTGGGCTCCGTCCCCAGTGCGGGGCGTGCGGGAGGCGGCCGATCCATGGTTCTCTCTCATCACTGATGTTTCTCTCTCTCTCACTCGCTCGCCCTTCCTCTCTGGCGTCAATCAATAAATTAAGAAAAAGACACCGTCGTCTTTGGCAGGCTGAGCCGCACTCAGGTTGTGCCGCCGGTGGCACTCACACCGACACCCCTCTGTCGCCTCTATGCTTCCTGCTGACCGCAGTGGACACAGCATTTGCTCACAGGGAGGCAGGCCTGGTACAGGAGGTGGCAGGTCATTCAAGGTGACTGTCCTGGCGGCCGCCAGTAAGCCGACTCCGGGGAGATAGGGCCCTTTTGTTGTCCGAGAGGCTCCCTGAGTGACCCCGCTGGGCGGCCGCCGCCCGAAACCGACCAGGGATAATTAGGTGAGCGGTCGCGTCCCATCCCGCCAGGACCTGCCGCGCAGTCACCTGCTACAGTGTGTGGCATGTGCAGCCTCATTGCACAGAATGGCCCGGAAGTAGAAGGCAGGCGTTTACCATTTAGATATGTTTACAAGGAGCAATTTACAGCTTGGCCAGCGTGGCTCAGTGGCTGAGTATCGACCCAGGAGCCAGGAGGCCACCGTTCGATTCCCGGTCAGGGCACATGCCCGGGTTGTGGGCTCCATACTGTGTGGGGCGTGCAGGAGGCAGCCGATGCGTGATGCTCTCTCATCACTGAGGTTTCTCTCTCTCTCCCTCTCCCTTCCTCTCTGAAATCAATAAAAAAATATATTTTAAGAGAAGATAAAAAGGGAGAACTCTGTTACCGTGAACGCCCTCCCCCCCAAGGTGTCCTGTGCAGAGTGGAGAGTTGGGGTGCACAGCAGGCACCCCACGCTGCCCGCTCTCAGCCCCCCTGCGGGCGGTGCACCCTCCTAATTACCCCGGGCGGGCACCTTGGGCACAATGGGAGCATTGAGTCCCTGGTGTCCTCAGGTGAGAAGGGAGGGTTTCGGATGAGCCTGTGAGGACGCGGAGTATCGGGTGCCACATTCCAGGAATGGGCCGGATGACTACAGATCTGAGCCGTCTAGGGAAACGAGCAGAAACGGGGCTACTGACACGCAGCCTCACAAGCTGGGAGGCCCCGATTGGAAGCCGAATCTCTAACACGTTTAAATGGAGCCTTCACGGAACCGCTGACCATGCGAAGGAGAGAGCCTGGGGCTGGACCACAATGACCACTCTTTGCTTGTTTTGTTTAAAATATGTTTGTACTAGAGGCCCAATGCATGCAACCGTGCACGGGTGGGGTCCCTAGGCCTAGCCTGCCATCAGGGCCATCTTCTGTCCGTTCACCAGTCCCCAGTCCTGCCCCGCCGCCACCCACCCCGGTTCCCTGTGGTTCCCGTTGGGTATACAGAGCCTGCAGGATGGGGGAGGGACCGAGAGGTGGTCAGTGTGCCTCATAGTGACTGGTCGATCTGGTTGTTACGCAGTTATGGTCGCTGGGCTTTTATTATGTAGGATTCATTTCAGAGAGGAAGATAGAAACATCCATGATGAGAGGGAATCCTGATTGGCTGCCTCCCGCATGCCCCCCCCCCCCCCCCGGGGATGGAGCCCGCAACCTGGGCCTGTGCCCTGACCGGGAATCAAACCGTGACCTTCTGGTTCATAGGTCGACGCTCAAACCACTGAGCAGCACCGGCCGGGTGGGATCTCCTGGAGCAGAGAGGTGGTGGGTCCTGTTCCTTTGTGATGAGCGTATGGGGGCTTGCTCAGAACCCCGGGGGACGGTTCCCTCCATCCTCACTGAACCCTAGAGCTTCCTTGATGTACAAACAGGTTACTCAGTAGGCCCTGGGGCTGACAATGGTTTTTTGATTCCTACTAATCATCTCTGGAATGAACCCAGAGTGATTCAGAGAGGAAAGAGCGTCTGGAACAGGTACTAATCCCCGAGCTCTCCTCTTTCTATATTAAAAAGGGATTATGAGGTTCCTGGAACGGCCTCTTTTTAAATGACGGGCAGACTTGCTCAATGGATTAGGTTGCGTCACCGAGTGGTCACGATGGAATTCCTAAAGATTTCATCAGCCGATCAGACCGCAACGTGCAGGCGCCCATACTCCCAAGGCTCCTGGCCCAACACGTGTTCGAATTTAGAAAGAAAACACAAGATCTGCCCAATTTAAAACGGCCTTTGTGCTTAACTCTTGCAGGAATTTGAAGAGTCCCAAAGACACGGCAGTAAAAAATGCAACGCAACACGAGCTCCTACAAAGCAGGACGATACAGCCCGCGTTTTAACAATTTAAAAACTATGACATTGAGTAATTTATGATAAATCTCTGTCCCCAGGGACTGTTAACTGGCCCAAGTGAAGGTTTTCCTGTGAACCTTAACCTAATCTAAAAGGCTTCCAATGGGCTTGCATCACTTCTTTAAAAAAATTATTTTTATTGATTTCAGAGAGGAAGGGAGAGGGAGAGAGAAACATCCATGATGAGGGAGAATCATGGATCGGCTGCCTCCTGCACGCTCCCCCTACTTCCCACCGGGGATGGAGCCCACACCCAGGGCATGTGCCTCCACCAGGAATTGAACTGTGACCTCCTGGTTCAGAGGTCGATGCTCAGCCACTGAGCCAGGCCTCTCCCGACCCCTTTCCATGTGTTTTCTTTCAGTTTGTCTCCCTCTGGTGGATTTTTTAAAAAAGATGTGCGTTTATTTTCAGAATAACTGGATTATTTGGGGCAGTGAAGAGGGAAGAGGAATATTTTGATGTAGGGAGGTCCCCGGGAAGGGGGAAGCTGAGGCCAGAATGCAGGTGTGGGGCCCCTGTTTTCTCCGAGACCAGAGCTAGGGAGGGGCTCGACCAAAGGGGAGTGGGCAGCTGGTGGTGAATGAGATCGGAAACTAAGGGAAAATTATCCCTAGGATTCCTAGCCGACGGCAGATGCAGTTGGTTTCTGAGGTCGTCCATTTATGGAGTCCCGTCTCATGCAACATGCTCGCACTTTCATACACATCGGCTACTGCAGCTCTCACAAATACTTGACAGCTGCCTGTACGGTATACAGTGAAAACGTGTCAATTATATTGCTAGACAGTAACCAGTCACATTTTAAAAACCACTTCACATGCATTCTCTAACTTGACTTTTCCAGCAATCATTGATGTTTTATCTCATATTACAAGCACAGAAACCAAGGCACAGAGAGGTAAAGTGATTTTAGTGATACGTAGGTTTTTGTTTTGTTTAAATATTTTTATTGATTTCAGAGAGGAAGGAGAGGGAGAGAGAGATAGAAACATCCATGATGAGAGAGAATCATGAATCGGCTGCCTCCTGCACGCCCCACACTGGGGATGGAGCCCACAACCTCCGAATCGAACCGCGACCTCCTGGCTCATAGGTCCACGCTCAAGCCACTGAGCCACACCAGCCGGGCGCCCCATGCAGGTGTGATCAGTCCTTCAAGGAACTCCTACTCGGAGGAGTCCAGTTCGGAGCAGGTTTGGAAACGCGGGCATCGTGAATAGCTGCTGTCCCGGCAGCGGGGCCTGAATGCGATGCGGGCACAGAGCTCTGAGCTGCCCGCTGCTCGGCACCACAGCCCGCGTGGGAGCATCTGGCGTTCCCTCCTCGCGGGGCTTGGAGACCGGTTCCAGTTGGGGTTTTCAGAATTAAGCGAAACAAACTCAAGGTAAAACATTCAGTCCGTTCCGATCGCCGCGCTCTGCCTCCGAAACCCTAGAAAAGCGCAGCGATGACCAATGGGGACAATCAGCCACTTTGACGGTGGGCGGGCTCCGCGCTTACCCTGAAGGTGGACGAGTGTCACTGCCCCAGGGTCCGGCGTTCCGATTCCCCGAGCCCCAGCCACCGGCGCTTCCGGGAGGGGCGGGAGGAAGCCAAGGCGTGGCGCCGACGCGACGTCCAGCAGCCAATCAGAAGGCGGGGCCGACGCGACGTCAGCGCGCAAATCGTAGTGCGGCGCCCAGCAGCCAATCCGAATGCCACACCCTGCAGCCAATTAGAAGGCGGCGCCGACGCGGCCGCAGTCACTAATCAGAACGCGACGCCCAGCAGCCAATCAGAACGCGGCTTCCAGTAGCCAATCGGAAGGCGGAGCGCCCATTCAAATTGTGGGCACCGGGAAAGCGGGCGGTGAGTGTCGCGGTCACCGTGTCGGGCCTTCTCGGCGGCGGGGGGCGTGCGAGGTGGGGGTGCCGTGTGTGGGGGTGCGGCCCTGGGAGGGTGCGGTCGTGGGGGTGCGGGCGGTGGTCTCGGCTCCGGGTCTCTCGGAGGAAGGGAGGGAGGGAGGACGGACGGATGGACCTGGCGGCCGGACCTCAGGCTCCGGTCCAGTCTCACCGCAGTGACCAGCGACGCCCAGAACCGCGGGGACGCTGGGCAGGGCGGTGACTGCTTTCCCGAGGGTCCGTCCCGTCGGATGGAGAACTCGCCCAAACGGCCCAGCCGTGGGTGCGAGCAGCGGAGTGTCCGGCGGCGGACTTGCTGGCCGTCCGTGTGTCTGCATAGGAGGAAGGGCGTGTCCTTGGACTGGAAAGCTTGCCCGGAGATGCTCAGGCCCGGCTTGTCCAGGGTGGTGTTGTTTATTTAGAACTTCAAAAAGACGCCCTTAAAAATGGACTTCTGGCATTTTTGTTCTTTAAAAAAAAATTTAGATATATATTGGAGGCCCGATGCTCGAAATTCCCCTGGCTGATGGCCCCGGCTTCCCTCGCAGTCCCGGCTTCGTCCGGAAGGTCGTCTGGAAGGCCGTCCGGTCTAATTAGCATATTATGCACATCTATATCTATATCTATATCTATCTATCTATCTATCTATCTATCTATCTATCTATTGATTTCAGAGAGGAAGGGAGGGGGAGAGAGAGAGATGGAGAAAGAGAAACATCAGTGATGAGAGAATCGTTGATCGTCTGCCTCCCCTACTGGGGATTAAGGCTGCAACCCGGGCATGTGCCCTGACTGGCAAATCAGACCGTGACCTCCTGGTTCCTAGGTTGATGCTCAACCACTGAGCCCCGCCGGCCAGGCTGCCCCTTCCTCTTTGAACCCGGCTGGAACGTCCTGTATATTGAGCATTTGCAGCCTGTAGGCCAGGGTTTTGTTTTTCATATTTGTTGATGGGGAGTCTTGTTAGGATTTTGACCGATTCAGCCTGGGTGGCTTGAAATCATTCTGTCCATATCCCGCTAGGCATCCCTGTTTGTAACATTTCCTCAACGCGTATTACGAAAATGCTTCTCCGTCTTTGACTTAGGTGCTAGGGTTTCCTTTCACCCCCCTCCCTGCTCCCCAAACTGGGGGTACTTTAAAAAAAGCACAACACTTTGCCGACATGCACTTTTTACATCTTTTAAGTCCCTTGGCACCTTTGACCTGATGTAAGGGTGATGTGTCTATTCCTTCTGGACTAAGGAACTAAGAATAGGGGTCTTGTCTTTGGAATCCGTAGCATTGGCATAAGGGGACGTAAATAACGTGTGAGATAATGACCGTCAGCTCTTCGAGGGGATTTGTCTGAGCTGCTTGGAAACAGTTCTGAGCTGGATGTCGCCATTTATTCTGATGTATTCTAATGTCAGGAAAGGTCCTCATGTCTTTGAAGCCTGTTTGTGGTCTGTGCAATCTAATTTTTTCTTGTAACTTAACAGATACTTTTGGAAACGGATCCGCTGGACGTCAAAGGAGCATCCAGAGAAGAGCTTAGAGTCCTCAACGGCATCCTTTTGAGAGTAACTCGCTGCCCCAATGTCAGTCTACACGGCACACCGAGGGCACAGCAGTGGCCTCCCCGGCGCTCCTGCTTCCCAGAGGAGCTCATCACCGGACGGCCTCGGCCTGGGGAGCAGCCGGAAGCAGCTGTCCAGCTCGGACGTGTCCGAGCGTGAAAACGACGACCCGTTCCTGAGGTCCGCAAGGAAACTCAGAGACATAAACAGCACCTACGTGATCTCCGCCTGTAAGACACCTGGAGATACGCCCCTGACCCCTAACCCTGCAGGTAGACTGACCCTTCAGAGGAGAGTTACAAGAAACAAAGAATCATCGTTGCTTGGGAGTGAGGTGGGCGAGTCATCTGAAAGAAAGACAGAAACTCGTCTTAAGTTACAACGTTGCATCCGAGCAGGTTCTGTGGACAGGCGGACACCAGCTGGAGCAGATTCCGTGGACAGGCAGGCAACAGCCAGAGCAGATTTCGTGGACAGGCGGACACCAGCTGGAGCAGATTCCGTGGACAGGCTGACCCCAGCTAGAGCAGATTCCGTGGACAGACGGACACCAGCTGGAGCAGATTCCGTGGACAGGTGGACACCAGCTGGAGCAGATTCCGTGGACAGGCGGACACCAGCTGGAGCAGATTCCGTGGACAGGCGGACACCAGCTGGAGCAGATTCCGTGGACAGGCGGACAACAGCTAGAGCAGATTCTGTGGACAGCCGGACACCAGCTGGAGCAGATTCCGTGGACAGGCGGACACCAGCTAGAGCAGATTCTGTGGACAGCCGGACAACAGCTAGAGCAGATTCAACGACACAGAGCGTGGGCGGGGCTGCAGCAAGTGGTAGTGCTTCACGGGACACCAGTAGGACGGTAAGGATTGTCAATAATGAGAAACACTCCTCCGTTGCATCATCTGCACCCTCAGCTGAAGACAGCGACACTGGACTGGTGGCCGATGAAAAAGGCAGAGGAACATTTTCTTCCCTCAGGGGAGCAAATGACAGCGTGACACGTGAGTACTTCAGTCATAGCACGCCCATCCGTCCCCAGAAAGAGGCTGAGGAGGCTCGACCAGGACGCCTGGCCACGAAACCCTTTCAGAGCCCGTTGGACGTCAGAGTGTCGGGAACAGGAAGCTGGCGCCACAGAAATCTTGGGGAGGATGTTGCGAAAAACAGAACTGGGTTTGAAAGCTTAGGAAAAGGGACGCCTACGAAACGCACTGCAGGGCACACGTGGACCCCACGGTGCGGCACGCCTCAGCCTCAGAGCGTGGCGATGTCCACCCTGAGACCCAGGACGCCCAGCTCCCAAGGTCAACAGAAGCCAAAACGCTCTCTTTTCGCAAATAAAAGGGAAGGGTCACAGGAGCATACAATCCCTCCCACGGAGGAGGCTGCGGCTCAGAGGGCCTCCACAGAGAGGGACCCCTTAAAAGCGGAGAACAGTCAGGTGACGGTGGCGGTCCGGGTGAGGCCCTTCAGCAAGAGGTAGGTCACACCTTTTCATGCCTGCTGCTCTGCATTTTCTTTCCTTTTTTTTTTTTTTTTTTTTTTTTTTTAATGTTTTTATTGCTTTCAGAGACAGGAAGGGAGAGGGAGAGAGATAGAAACATCAGTGATGAGAGAGAATCACTGATCGGCCGCCTCCTGCACGCCCCACACTGGGGATCGAGCCCACAACCCAGGCCTGTGCCCTGACCGGGAATCGAACCCTGACCTCCTGGTTTACAGGTCGACGTTCAACCACTGAGCCACGCTGGCCGGGCTGCTCTGTATTTTCCACATAAAACTCATCCCCCCCAGAGGAGTGTTATGTTCACCTAGTTTTGAGGGCTTCATCCTCAGAATAACGGCGGCAGCTTGACCTTCTTTGCGCTCCTTCTCGAAGAGAGAAGGACGAGGACACGGCCCAGGTGGTCTTCCTGGACGGGGAGGAGATCGCCGTGCGACACCCGGACCTGAGACAGGCGTACAGTTTCCTCTACGACGTCTCCTTCTGGTCCTTCGACGCGTGCCACCCACGCTACGCCAGCCAGGCCGCCGTGTACGAGACGCTGGCGGCCCCGCTCCTGGCCCGCGCCTTGGAGGGCTACAACGCCTGCCTCTTCGCCTACGGGCAGACGGGCTCCGGGAAGTCGTACACGTGAGTGTGGCCGCAGACGTGGCTCTGGGCGGGCATGTGTGCGTGTGTGTGTGTGTGTGTGTGTGTGTGTGTGTGTGTGTGTGTGTGTCTTACGTGAGAAGCGGCCTGGCTTGATTGACGGCGCACAGTTCTGAGACCACAGGGATCCCGGCTCAGGTCTGCTCGTTTACACGCTAGTCCCGCACCCTTGGTCCAGCTGCCTGACCCCTCGGCTCCGGTGCATGCCCAGGAGTCACTGACCTTTGCGAGAGTCATTGGCCCCATTTTACTGTAAAGCGAGCATTTCTAACGCAGGCCGGATAAACAAGGTCGAAGTGTCTGTGGGCCGCAAAAAAACAAAAGCTTCCATTTTCATAGAAATGTGGGTTTATTTCCATAGAGACGTGCTGAATACAAAGGGCCGAAATAAATGAGTCGTCGTTAACATAAAATAATGGAACATTTTAATAAAAATTGATATTTTTGCTTGAACATTCACTTACCAGACACTGAATAACTGCACAAACGAATAAGCATCATGCAAATAAATCTGTTTTTCTCGTTCTCTGAAAGCGAACTATTTCCTGTTGCGCACACCACACAAGTCAGTCCAAGCCTCTCGGCTTCTGGGGCCTCCCGGTCGCCTCCCTTCACCCCTCACGTGGCCCCTCCAGCGTGTTCACCCGGCTTCACCCCCTTATTCCCGTGCCCATTTGGGGTGATCACGTGGCCCCGCCCCCCAACAGAGTTTTAAAGACCTGCTTGGTGTTACTTCCCCTCTTCACACAGGATGATGGGATTCGGTGAAGAACCAGGAATCATCCCAAGATTCTGCGAAGACCTATTTGCTCAAGTGGCCAAACACCAAACCCAGGAGGTCGGTGCGGGGGCTGCAGGCCTTCGTGTTGGGCTAGAAGAGCGCCCAAGCGGGTGCACATCGGAGGGAGGCGGGGCCACCGAGGAAGCCCCCAGGGGGAGACGGGCCCTGACTTCCCTCAGCGCCAGGGTGGGCGAGGGCCCAGGGGTGGGCGAGGGCGGGGCTCCGGCCTGGTGTCGGTTCCTCCTGGTGGCAGTGGAGGAGGAGGGTGGAGGAGGAGTGTCTGCTGTGTCCCCCGGAGGGAGCCGGCACCGCTGTGCGGGTCTCTGCACTCAGCCAGCGGCGCACCGACCCCGCAGGACACAGGCCCGGGCTTAGGGCGAGAAGCTGCTGATGTGTGAGCTTGGAGTTCAGCTCCCAGGCCCTGTGGGTCAGAGAGCGGAAGGGAGAAACGCGCTATCAGTGCTAATGCATGAAACTAACCCAGAATGAGGAGGGGCTTCTGTGAGAACCGCAGGAGGGGGGGGGGGTAGGCAGGTCTTCTCAGGGGGACAGCTGGGCTGGTGAAGGACACGGTCATTACTGGTGGGAGGGGGCGGGGCACCCAGGCGGAGGGCAGTGGGTGCGGGGATTGGAAAGCGAGGACGCGGGAGCAATGGGGTCTGTAGACTGCTCTGCTTGGAGCCGGAGCTGGAGGGTGGAGGGTGGAGGGTGGAGGGTGACAGGAGGCCCCCGTCGGGTGCAGGTTGCAGACCGCGCGAGGGCGTTCGGAGGTAAGTTGCAGGCTGAGCTTCTCTCCTACAGGTCAGGTATCACCTGGAAATGAGCTTCTTTGAAGTTTATAACGAAAAAATCCACGACCTGCTGGTGGGCAGAGGCGACGGCAGGCAGGGGAAGCAGGCGGTGAGTGAGAGCGTCTGTCGCTGGCTCCCAGTGTCTGTGTTTACGAAAGCCTGTGGCCCCACGCGCCCCCCAGGTGACACGTCGGGCTTACGTGCTTACAAGTGCTGTTGTGTGACAGCAGGTACGTGGGGCTGCAGTTGAGCTGTCTTGTTATTTAGTCAATAAGCTGGGCGTTATGGCCAGTGGAGATTAAATGAGTTATTGAAGTGAAGCTCTTTATTTTAAGCAAGTATCGTGTAAAAGGTACTCGTTCCAGGATATAGTTGGACCACTTAAACGCTCAATCCCAACACGTCTATAAAGCTAAAAGGCAGTAGAGGCTCACAAAAAATTGTACTGTTATTATAGCACTGTTCTTCACTGGGCTATTTGGCAAACTGATATCCTATGGATAATATTTCCTGTGAAGTAGGACATTTCACAAATACATAAGCTTTTAAGAAAATGCTGTTAGAATTTAAAGTTTTTAATTTTTTTATTACTTATTTATTAGAATATATTTTTATTGATTTCAGAGAGGAAGGGCGCGGGGTGGGGGGGCGCGGGGGCGGGGAGAGAGGGAGAGAAACATCAATGATGAGAGAGATTCACTGATTGGTTGCCTCCTGCACACCCCCTTCTGGGGATTGAACCGTGACCTCTGGGTTCATAGGTCAACACCCAACCACTGAGCCACAGCAGCCGGGCTTGAGGCGGGTTGTAATGCCTCACAGGTTGGTTTCCGTGGGAACCTTGATGTTTATTCCTGGGTCAAGTGAAGGCAGATGTCTGGGCCTGAAACTCAGAGTGTGGGGAAAAGCCGCTGAGAACTGCCTTCGCACGGACCCCCTGCCGTGCGCTGACCACCACTCTCGCTTGCTCCACAGCTGAGGGTCCGGGAGCACCCCGTCTCCGGGCCGTACGTCGAAGCTCTGGCCGTGTAAGTACCGTGTCCGCTGCGCGTTCTCCTGTGTGTCTGTACCTTTCCCAGCACCCGTGGGGCCTGGCGCAGACCATGAGTTACACCGAGTGGCCAATACTAGGGGGTTCTCCCTCTGTCCCCTCCCCGCTGCGGTTTGTATCTGCTCCTTAAGCCGCCGGGGGAGGAGGTGTAAGATGAGCTCATGGTAAGAGTTTTGGTTTTTCTTTTTTTAAATATATTTCATTGCTTTTTACAGAAGGGAAGGGAGAGGGACAGAGAGTCAGAAACATCGATGAGAGAGAAACATCGATCAGCCGCCTCCTGCACACCCCCCACTGGGAATGTGCCCACAACCCAGGTACATGCCCTTGATAGGAATCGAACCCGGGACCCTTCAGTCCGCAGGCCGACGCTCTATCCACTGAGCCACACTGGTCAGGGCGAGTTTCAGTTTTTTAAAATATTTTTCATTGGTTTCAGAGAGGAAGGGAGAGAGAGAGAGAGAGAGAGAGAGAGAGAGAGAGAGAGAGAGAGAGAGAAACAGAGAAACATCAGCGATGAGAGAGGATCACGGATCTGATGCCTCCTGACACTGGGGACCCAGCCCACAGCCCGGGCCTGTGCCCTGACCGGGACGGAGCTGGGAACGTTGTCACGTGGAGGCCCTCAGGGGCTCCCCTCCTTACCGTGGGAGAACAAGAGGGTAACCGACTCTGTCTTTTCCCTTCCCGCCAGGAACGCCGTGGGTTCTTACTCCGACATCCAGGTAAGAGGGGCTGTCCCTCACCCTCTGCCCCCTGGAGAGCGTGACCGTGGCCATGAGCCTATGAGAATATCCCCCTTGGTTGCTGGTCGCAGGAGGGGACGGTTAACCTTGTTCACTTCTCACGAGCAGGTTTCGCTTCTTGAACTTAATTCAAGAGAATTTCTCTTCTGAACTAAAACTAAATCCCACCAGCGTAGAGTTATAGCAGTTGCCTTTCAAAGTTGTTATTTCCCGACTCAGATATCGGGGGTAGACACAACCGGACAGTGGGCATACAGAGGACTGCACGGTAGACATTGATGTGTGGCTTCATTTACGAACTGAGGAGCGTGGGGTCACGGGGGGTGCGGGCGTCCTCGCCCCCGGGGCCCCCGCCCGCAGCCTGGCCTCTCCCCCGCAGGGCTGGCTGCAGCTGGGGAGCAAGCAGCGGGCCACGGCGGCCACCGGCATGAACGACAAGAGCTCCCGCTCGCACTCGGTGCTCACGCTGCTGCTGACCCGTACCCAGGTGGGACCCCTCACGCCTCGCGTGCCTCCCACCTTTCCTTTCAGTCAGAGGTAAAAGGACATCCGTGTGCATGCCTGACCCCGGTGGGTTTGAGGAAATATACTCAGCGACTGAGTCAGGTTTGGTGCAGATGGCTGTACGTTTTTCTCACCGTTTTAAAAACCAATAATAGCTATTATTCATTTACCGGGATATCGCGGGCGTCGTATCAACATGTGGTGTGTTCTCAGTAACGCGTGGGGATTACCGTACGGTATTTGGAAAATCCTACCAGAAAGTAAAAGATTTCTTATAACTCGGCTATCGGGCCCGTGGCTCCAGTAAAACCGCTCTAAACATTTCGGTGAACGTGTGTCAATTGTGTGACCATTCCGCTTGAACAAGTTTACAAGCCCTGCAGCCAGTTCATGCGACTACCACGCTTTGTGAAATGTTTTTCATGGCTGCCCGACGTTCCCTTGACTTCACTTCCTCCAGTCTTTACTGCTGGGCGTTTGTGTTGCTTTTAGGCCAAGAGCTGTTGTTTGTTTGTTTTTCCATGAGAGAGAGAGAGAGAGACAGACAGACAGACAGACAGACATAAGCTTGTTCCCCCTGCTGATGCATTCATTCATTGGTTGATTCTTGTTTGTGCTCCGACGGGGATGGAGCCCGCAGCCTTGGGGTCTGGGGAGGCTCTAACGGCCTGAGCTGCTGCGTTAAGCCCGTTGCTACTTCCCCGCTGGGATGAACACCTTCACACGTTGTTAAGCTGCTTACCTGCTTATGGTTGCTTCCTTAGTGGCAATCTGTCCCTTTCAAGTCGCTTCTTTCCTTTTGGCACAATCCGCTCAGCGCGTTCGCAGCTGTGAGTGACTCACGATCGCAGGTCCACGGAGGGTCCCTCGGCTCCAGGAACAAGCGGGCGGCCTGGTCCTCACAGCTCCCCTCCCGCAGGCTCCCCTCGGGGTGAGTCCCAGGGACTGACGCTGCGTCATGTTAACCTCCTTTTGCCACAGACGGAGCTGGTGGACGGGGAGGAGCACGACCACACGGTGACCAGCCGCATCAGCCTGGTGGACCTGGCGGGCAGCGAGCGCCAGGGGCCGGCGGGCACCAACGGGCAGCAGCTGAGGGTGATGGACCTCCCTGGGGGAGGGGCTTGCCCCTGGGGGAGGGGCTTGTCCCTGGGGGAGGGGCTTGTCCCAGGGGAGGGGCTTGTCCCTGGGGGCGGGGCTTGCCCCAGGCCTTATGTTTAGGTTTAGGAGGTGACCAGGGACACGTGCTCCACAACAACCAGACGCCTCCCCCTGCAGCTGACAGCCTGCGCTGCTGGGGCGTCCGGAGGCCCCCAGTTTGGTTGTGGTCACTTTCCAGGGACGCTAGGAGGCTGGGAGTCGCGAGGCAGCTGGGAGTGTGTGGAAGGGAGCGTGGCGTCCACCTGCTCTGAGCAGCGATCTGACCTTCACGCGTCTCTCTCCCCACAGGAGGGCGTGAGCATCAACAAGTCCCTGCTGACCCTGGGCAAGGTCATCTCCGCGCTGGCGGAGCACGGGGGCCGCCGGAGAGCGTTTATTCCCTACCGGGAGTCGGTCCTGACGTGGCAAGTGTCTTTCGAACTTTCTTTTCTACATTATTTTCAAAAATAGATTTTTATTGATGTCAGAGAGGAAGGGAGAGGGAGAGAGAGAGAAACATCCACGATGAGAGAGGATCATGGACCGGCTGCCTCCTGCACGCCCCCCACTGGGGAGGGAGCCTGCAACCCGGGCCTGTGCCCTGACCGGGAATCGAACCCGGGACCCTTCCGTCCGCTCTCTCCGCTGAGCCAGGGCCCCTGGGCATTTTTAGCGTTTGCAGAGCTTCTCCCCGCTCTATGGTCGTGGTGGCCCCAGGAATGGGTGACCGCGCCGTGGAGGGTCTTCCCCACAGTGGCTCCCTGTGCGCTCGGGGAGATGGTGGGGGAGATGGGGAGATGGCTGCGGGGCCCGGCGGAGGCTGACCCAGCGCCCCCCCCCCCCCCCCCCCCGCAGGCTGCTGAAGGAAAGCCTGGGCGGCAACTCCAAGACGGCCATGATCGCCACGGTGAGCCCGGCGGCCAGCAGCCTGGAGGAGACGCTGAGCACCCTGCGCTACGCCCGCCAGGCGCGCAGCATCGTCAACCGGGCCCGGGTGAACGAGGACGCCAGCGCCCAGCTCATCCGCGGTGAGCGCCCTCCCCTGCGCCGCGGGCTCCGCTGCTGCAGCAGGTCCTCCCGGATGACAGTTTGGGCGACGGTCGGACGGATGGACGGACGGGCGTGTGCGACTTAAGGATGATTTCCGGGGCCTGTTTTTAGAGACCTTGGCCGGCTCCTGCAGTGGTGGAGGGCAGCGAGGGACCCGGGAGGGAGCGTGAGCGGCGAGGGCCGCCTACCGGGCCTCAGTGCCGTGCCATGGCCACCTCCCAGGCCCGGCTCGGCCGTGGCAGCAGCAGGAGGGGGAGGTGCCGGGCTGGCCTCACAGGGGCGAGCTGCTGTCTCAGTCCAGCCTCTCACACGGGACCTTTCTCGTGAACGTCAGTGTGTGCTTCCCGCTTGCAAACCTTTGCGCCGGCAGGTCCCGTGTCCCTCTGTCCCAGGGGGAGCCGTAGGCCCCCCTCCCCGGGTGTCCCGCTTGGACACCATCCCTCCTCCCCGGGAGGGCAGGCTCCTGGACACGGGAGCGCTCCGGGCAGGGCGGGGGAGGCAGGCGCGGAGGCCCCGCAGGGGCAGTGGCCTCGATTCTGCAAAGATCCCGGTTCCCCGAGGAAGGTTTAAAACTCCCAGCGCAGTGGGAATTGGAGGGCCACGCTGACCGCGGAGATGATTCTGCATCAGTCGTGCGTCTTCTTATCAATATTTAGAATTGAAAGCAGAAATCGAGAAGCTGAAAGCTGCTCAAAGAAGCCGTCAGAACATCGACCCTGAGCGCTACCGGCTCTGTCGGCAGGAAATCACATCCTTGCGAATGAAGCTGCACGAGCAGGAGCGAGCTATGCTGGAGATGCAGAGGTGGGGGCGAGGGCCGAGGGGTGGGCGGGGCCACGGGCTGCAGGATCAGGGGCTGGAGGGGGCGGGGTCAGATGGGTGGGCGGGGCCACGGGCTGCAGGACCAGGGGCGGGAGGGGGCGGGGTCAGATGGGTGGGCGGGGCCCGGACGGTGCAGCCTCCCCCTTCCTGTCCCCCCGCCCCCCAGGTGTGCAGCTGCCCACCCCCAGGCCATCTCCTTTAATCCCAAATGGTGTCATAATCTTTGTTGATTGTCTGTTGATTGTTAACTATATATATGTGTATGTATTTTTAACTACGAATTCTGTTTGTTTTTGTAAAGAGCGTGGAAAGAAAAATTTGAACAGGCTGAACAAAGAAAACATCATGAAATCAAGGAGTTACAGGTATGAGCTCAGCGTCCTAACTGATGTAGGCGGCAGAGAAGGGTGCCAGCGAAACGCTGATTAAACCTGTCGATGACGCGCTGGCCCTATAGGAAGCACGGCCCAGAGAGGGTTAGTGTAAAGCCGTGTGGAGGTCAGGGTGGCGCTTGGAATGTGAGGGGCATCGGGGCGTCGCTGGGACGTCCCACGGAGAAATTACCGACCTTAACTGAGAGCCGCTGGGTGGAGAGAAGCCTTTCACCTGGACCGCTCATTTCAAGCCCATCTCAGTCACGCTGTGGCCACGGTTCTGCTCATTTCAAGCGCATTTAACAGTCACGCTGTGACCATGGTCTCCCCTCCCTCCGGCTTCAGAAAGCAGGAATCACCTTCCAAGTGGACGACCGCCTGCCGAACCTGGTCAACCTGAGCGAGGACCCGCAGCTGTCGGAGACGCTGCTGTACGTGATCCGGGAGGGCACCACCACGGTCGGGAAGCGCGGCCCCGCCTCCCGCCCCGACATCCAGCTGTCCGGGGCCCTGGTGGCCGACGAGCACTGGTAGGTGAGCCTTCTCGGAATCGAGGGCCCCTGGCCGTTGTCTGCCGGTGACCGACCCGCTCACGGGAGGCACGCGTGTGCCCTGAATCCTTGGCATGATCCTCCCAGGGCATCTTTTACCAGGAGGAGCGACACCGAGTGCTCCGTGATCATACAGACTCGTCCCCACTGTGGGGTCGTCTCTCCCCCCTTTTCCATCCTGTTAGCCCAAAGACGACTCTGGGTTTCTTTCCCGTTCTCTGAATAGAAAGCTGCTTTTAAAAATATATATTTGTATTGATTTCAGAGAGGAAGGGAGAGAGAGAGAGAAACATCAATGATGAGAGAGACTCATGATCGGCTGCCTCCTGCACGCCCCTCACTGGGAATCGAGCCCGCAACCCAGGCATGCGCCCTGACCGGGAATCGAACTGTGACCTCCTGGTTCATAGGTCGACGCTCAACCACTGAGCCACGCTGGCCGGCCGGCTCAGCCAGGGGCTTTTATCTCCCCGCTCCCCCCACTCTCACGCCAGGAAAACGTTCCTTATCTGTCCCGTTATCAACACTCTCTCACAAACCCGGAACATTAGGAAAGCAGAACACAAGAACACTGTCCATCTGTTCCATTTAGAGGGAGACCACCATCGATATTTTACTATGCTTTTCACTGGGTTTTTCTCTGTTTTCTTTGAGGGGGGGAGGGGGCACTTTTTCAAAAGCAGTTGTGATCAAAATACCCACAGTGCTCATCTTCCTCCCTGCGGAGGGTGCGCTTGCTGGGGGCCAGGCTTTTCCACCGAAACCCAAAGTCTGCTTGGAGGCAAGTTTGTTATTGTTATTGTCACGCATTGATCTGGACCTTCACCCCAAAGGAGTGACCCCGACAGGACGGCTTGTCCTGTGTCCCCTCCTCCTACGCCGTCCTCTGCCCCGTAGCGGTAACTGTGTCTCCATCCCCGCAGCACCATCAGCCACGTCGACGGGACTGTGAGCATCGCCCCCGTCGGGGAGGCCAGGACCTACGTGAACGGCAAGCACGTGTTGGGGCCCACGGTGTTGCACCACGTAAGCGGGCGCCGTCAGGCGGGCGAAGGCGCTGGGCTCCGGCGGGCCGTTCACGTATCTGCGTTTCAGTCTGAAAACGCCCTCTCCTGTGTGTTCATTAACCGCCTCCTTTCGTGCAAAGACAAGAGCCGTGTGGCTGTGGGGGGACCGGGCGAGCTGCTCACTGTCCTCATCATGTGTCCCCAGGCCGGACGGGTGGCACCTGGCCCTGCCCTTTGCCCTTTGCCCTCTGTCCTCTGCCCAGTGACTTTGAAGAGCTGGTGAATGGCCTGGCTGTGCATTGCCCAGGCCTGGACACCTGAGAGAGCACCGTGATGATCATCCGGGGAACAGGCCTTCGGGCGCCCCATGATGCAGGCTTACCTCCTATGTCCCTCAGTGTCAGGGGAAGTGATTCATGTGCAAGTCTTTTTTTTTTTTTTTAATATATTTTGATTGACTTCAGAGAGGAAGGGAGAGAAAGAGAGAGAGAGAGATCAGTGATGAGATAGAATCATGGATCGGCTGCCTCCTGCACGCCCCCCACTGGGGATGGAGCCCGCAACCCGGGCCTGTGCCCTGACCGGGAATCGAACCCTGACCTCCTGGGTCATAGGTGATGCTCCACCACTGAGCCACACCGGCTGGGCTTTTCCTGTGTGTGTGTGTGTCCAGCTCTCAACACGGTGCCTGCAGGGAGAGGCTCCCCGAGCGCCCCCATTGAGTCTGTGCTCCAGGCTCCTCATTCCTGACGTCGGCAGCCAGTGTCTCGGGGGTTGTTGTGACACATCCAGGAAGGGACACGTGCAGAATGTCCCATGCCGTTCTCGGAGTAGGAAGTGCCGGCTGGACGCCGGTTGCCCTGACCCGTGTTTCTCGTTAATCGCACCGACTGTCCTGAGCCGCTGAGCAGTGGTCTGTCCCGAGCGCCTGTGCGGCCGGACGCCCCTGCAGCGGCTGCTGTGTGTGCCGCAGGGCGACCGCGTGGTGCTCGGGGGAGACCATTACTTCAGGTTTAACCACCCGGCGGAGGCCCGGAGCGGGAAGAGGCCGCCCGGGGGAGGCGCCCCGGCCGGCGAGGGCCCGAAGGACTTTGAGTTCGCCAAGAACGAGTGGTTGGTGGCCCAGCGATCGCAGTGAGTGTCGGGGTCTGAAGCAGTGAGTTTGGGGGGCAACGGGGGGAGAGCTGTAGGGGGAGGGCTCCCGGGAGGGGAGTTTCGAGATTGAAGGTTTTGTTTAATGGGAAACATTTGAACACGATTCAGAGCTGCTGTGGTTATGGCCCTCTGACCATGGCGCCTTGAACCTGAGACTGATACAGGATAGCGTTGCATGTAAAGTGCGATGGGAGAAAACCTGCCCTGGCCGGTGTGGCTCCGTGGGTAGAGCCTCGGCCTGCGGACTGGAGGGTCCCGGGTTCGATTCCCGGTCGAGGGCACAGGCCCAGGTTGCACTGCGGGTTTCGGTCCTTCGCAGGCTGGAGGCGGAGATCCAGGAGGCGCAGCTGAGGGCGAAGCAGGAGATGCTGCAGGGCATCCAGGTGGCCAAGGAGGTGGCAGAGCAGGAGCTGTCCTCGCAGAGAGCCGCCTTCGAGGGCAGGATCGAGGCCCTGCAGGCCGAGCTGGTACGGGCGGGCGGCCTCCTCCCCTCGCGTCCTTTCCTGGACGGCTCCCTGAGCGACAGGTGGCTGTGGACAGGTGGCTGGCGGCCAGACCAGGAGCCTCTCTGGGCCCAGTGTTGGCTCTGGCCCACCCCCTGCTGGGCGTTCCGGGAAGCCTCCCAGTCCACCTGCTGATCTGAACCCTGATGTTGGAAGCACCCAGTGACGCCCTCCAGAGGGGCTGGGTCATCGATGGGGAGGCCACCGGGTCCTCCAGCCGAGTGAGCCTGGCTCCCGGCGCCATCTGTGGGCCTGCGTCCCCAGGGCCCCGCGTGGAGGGTTGACCAGGGATGTCTGTTTGTGGTCAGACCCGTCGGGCCAGCTCTTCTCCCGGCGCGTCCGTCTCTCCTGCTCTGGTGAAAGGCGGGCCCTTTGGTGCATCCAGGAGCTTGGGGAAGGACTTGCATGTTGGCCCTGGTTACTTATTTATTATTTATTTATTATTCTTTAAAGAAAGAAGAGTCTCAGCGGAAGAGGCTGCAGGAGATGAGTAACCAGAAGGCACATCTCCGCATCGAGGAGCTGGAGAGGGCGAAGCAACGGCTGGAGCAGGAGGTGCAGGCCAACCAGAGGCGCCTGCAGCTGGAGAGGCTGGCGGCCCAGCAGGTGACTCTCCTGGCCGGGCTCGGGCTGTGGGTGGAGAAGCAGGGCTGTCAGGGGAGAAGCTGGGCTGTGGGTGGAGAAGCGGGGCTGTCAGGGGAGAAGCCGGGCTGTGGGGGGAGAAGCCGGGCTTTGGGGGGAGAAGTGGGGCTGTTGGGGGAGAAGCTGGGCTGTGGGTAGAGAAGCGGGGTTGTCAGGGGAGAAGCCGGGCTATGGGGGGAGAAGCGGGGCTGTCAGGGGAGAAGCCGGGCTGTGGGGGGAGAAGCGGGGCTGTCAGGGGAGAAGCTGGGCTGTCGGGGGAGAAGCCGGGCTTTGGGGGGAGAAGTGGGGCTGTCGGGGGAGAAGCTGGGCTGTGGGTAGAGAAGCGGGGTTGTCAGGGGAGAAGCCGGGCTATGGGGGGAGAAGCGGGGCTGTCAGGGGAGAAGCCGGGCTGTGGGGGGAGAAGCGAGGCTGTCAGGGGAGAAGCGGGGCTGTCGGGGGAGAAGCAGGGCTGTCAGGGGAGAAGCCGGGCTGTGGGGGGAGAAGCGGGGCTGTGGGGGGAGAAGCCGGGCTGTGGGGGGAGAAGCGGGGCTGTGGGGGGAGAAGCTGGGCTGTGGGGGGAGAAGCGGGGCTGTCAGGGGCTTAATGTCCCAGCGTCACTCTCAGTGGCCCCAAGTGTGGACACGGTGGTGACGTGTGGTCACTCCTTGGGGGTCAGCTCGAGGACACCGAGGGCCCAAACTCGAGGGCTTTAGGAGGGAAAGCAGAACGGCTTAAATCTTGAGAACAGTGTTAGTCGCGGTCACAGGCTGATGGTGTCCAGTGAGGTTTTCAAAGGCATTGACCGTGGGCTGCTGTGAGCACTGTTTTGTGTGGGTTTTTTTTTTGTTTTTAACTCCTGTCAGTGGAAAGAGGAAGATTAATCTATGTAATTAAAGCCCTAATGACGTTTTGGTGGGGGAAGGCGTTCCTTAGAGACGTTTCCTAAGCTCCCAGCAGCCTCCTGTGCTGACTGGAACACGCCTTGGGAGCTGAGCCGCAGTGGCAGCGTGTGCCGCGGCCCACCCCTCCGTGTTCTCTCCCACATGCACACGCGTGGCCCCGCGATGCACGGCCCAGGCTCTGGACGACCACAGCGTCCGCCACACGAGGATCCTGGAGGCTCTGGAAGCCGAGAAGCAAAAAATCGCCCAAGAGGTGCAGGCGCTGCAGCAGAACCGGGGCGACAGGGACAGGGCTCTCCCGGGTGAGTGCGCGACGGGGCAGCGCTTCTCGGCCCCTGTGCACGCAGCGCAGGCCGAGGAGAGCTACTCAGACGCCACCCTCACCCGGGCTAAATCATTAAGCAAATGACTTTCCCAGGCCTGTCCTCCCCCGGGGCGATTGCTAGAGTGTGCATGCATGTGTGTGTGCGTGTGCACTGACTCCCCATGTGCTCGCTTCCAGTCCCGACGAGCTGTGTGCGCGTGCGCGTGTGTGTGCGTGTGCATGTTCATGTGTGTGTGCACTGACTCCCTGTGTGCTCGTTTCCAGTCCCGACGAGCTGTGCGTGTGCGTATGCATGTGCGTGTGCACTGACTCCCCGTGTGCTCGCTTCCAGTCCCGACGAGCTGTGTGTGTGTATGTGCGTGTGTGTGCATATGCATGTGCGTGTGCACTGACTCCCCATGTGCTCACTTCCAGTCCCGACGAGCTGTGCGTGTGTGTGTGCGTATGCATGTGCGTGTGCACTGACTCCCCGTGTGCTCGTTTCCAGTCCCAACAAGCTGTGTGCGCGTGTGCGTGTGTGTGCGTGTACACATTCATGTGAGTGTGCACTGACTCCCCATGTGCTCGCTTCCAGTCCCGACGAGCTGTGCGTGTGTGCGTGTGTGTGTGTGTGTGTGCACGTGCATGTGCACTGACTCCCCGTGTGCTCGCTTCCAGTCCCGACGAGCTGGGGCTCCCTGAAGCTCTCCCTCATGATCCAGGAGGCCAACGCCCTCAGCGGCCGCTCTCAGAGGCAGTATGTGTTCGGCAGGTGAGGCCTTGGTGGTCGGGGTTGGAAAGCAGCTCTGGGTTTGCAGAGTTCACCTCTGTGTCCCTTCAGAAACGGTGACAGTGTTTTAGTTCCTCCGAGGACAGCACCCCCTGCCCATGATGGTCACCGCCACAGCATGCTGAGCCCTGAGGGTCTCCTCCAGGCCCCGTGCTGGGGGAGGGGCCTCTGGTTCAGAAGCTCCCGTGGGAGTGACGGGCACGGGTGTCTTAAGATGGCCTTTCCCTCTGGTGTGTTTCAGACACGAGGCGCCCGATGGAGGGGGTGGCCCTGGCCCCCGGGTCCGGGTGCGGAACCTGCGGCTGGGCGTGTCCACCCTCTGGAGCCTGGAGAAGTTTGAGTCCAAGCTGGCGGCCCTGAAGGAGCTCGAAGAGGTTCACATGCTATGACTCTGTCTACACTGTTTTAAAAATGTTTCTATTGATGTCAGAGAGGAAGGGAGAGGGAGAGAGAGAGAAACATCCATGATGAGAGAGAATCGTGGACCGGCTGCCTCCTGCACATCCCACACTAGGGATGGAGCCCGCAACCCGGCATGTGCCCTGACCGGGAATCGAACCCTGACCTCCTGGTTCATAGGTCAGCGCTCAACCACGCCGGCCGGGCCCTACTTGTTTTCGATATCTTACTTTCTGTCTTCTGTCTTCTAAAATCATACCCCAAATAGGAATCTTTTTAATCACACTTTGATGCTCACAATTTGCTACCAGAAATATTGCCTGTTTTACCAGTTTGTTTTCATTTGTGTTTAATAACTGGTGAGTCGGAGGGTTGGACTCTGTTTCCTTGTGGGAAAAGTGTGTGGTCAGCCTAGGAAACCAGGACACAAAGCAAAGGAAAGCCAGGGAGAGGGAAAGCCGTCGCGGATGAGGCGGAGGTCAGCGCACGCGGCCGCCGGGTCTGGGAAGGGGAACCGGGGATTCGAGGTGCGGGCAGCATCTCAACAAAGACCACAGGGCCTTTAAGGTCGTGTCGCACGTGCAGCTGTGCCGATAAGTGTGGTCATTCTCCAGGAAGAAAAGCCTTTCTGGTAAAAGGAAAGTTATGAAAGCTGAGTAACCGGCAGCACACCGGAAAGTCAGTCAACAAGCCTCAAAAAATAAAGGCGGCGGGAGGGGGGGGGGGGCGGGTGTAAAAAGGTGCGGACCCCAGTCGGTTTCACGAGGAAGTGCTTTTGAACCTCTAAACCTTCCAGACAGACAATCCCGTGAACGGTCCCAGAGCATCGAGAAAGACAGGTGTCCCGGCTGCCTTCCGACGATAGGACAATTGATTAAAATCAAACGAAAACCACAAAACCCGAAAAGATGACTCAGAAGAGAACCACAAGCCAATCTCAGTGCGATCACAGCTATGAACACCCCGGATGCAATGCTAATGAGGCAAACCCACACAGATACTCCCAGAGCCCTCGCCCCGGGGTCAGGCGGGGTCAGGCCCCCGCGAGTGAGACCAGGCAGGTCAGGTCCGGGACCGAGGGCGTGTTCACCACAGAAAACCGCCGCCGGGAGGACTCGGCCTGCGGACTGAAGGGTCCCGGGCTCGATTCCGGTCAAGGGCACACGCCTGGGTTGCGGGCTCAATTGCCAGTGGGAGGCGTGCAGGAGGCAGCCGATTAAATGATTCTCTCTCATCGTCGGTGTTTCTATCTCTCTCTCTCCCTCTCCCTCCCTCTCTGAAATCAGTAGAAATACAGATTAAACAAATAATAATAAAAAGTGAAATAAAGTGCAACCACGTATTTAAGTTCGTAACAAGCAGAAACCGTCTGTTTTATTTCTCCCAGAGTAACTGCCAGTGCGAGGACCTCTTCTGTGACCCCGAGGACGAGTGGGAGCCCGACCTCACGGACGCGCCCGCCGCCTCGTTCTCCAGGAGGAGGTAGGCCTCGCTGCACAGGATCGCTTCCTTATTTTTCATTTTATTCATTTTATTTCTGGTTCAATCCTCGCCCGAAGATTTTTAGAGAGAGCTGGAGGGAGGAGGAGAGACACGCAGAGAGAGAAGCATCGATGTGAGAGAGACGCATTGATGGGTTGCCTCCCACACGAGCCCTGACCGGGGCCGGGGAACCCGCAGGTACGTGCAGGCACGTGCCCTTGACCGGAATCGAACCCAAGACCCTGCAGTCCGCGGGCCGACGCTCTATCCACTGAGCCACACCGGCCAGGGCTCAGGTCCTTGTTTTCAGAGAAACCTGTAGCCTGATGCGTGTCCGTGATTCACGCCGCGGCTCCCGCTGACCAGCAGCTTAACCGTGAGGGAATCGAGGGAGGCTTCAGTCGTTGCTGAAAAATCAGCACCTCGCGCCCCGTGTCCTGAGGCTTGGAGGTCGGGTCTTCCTCCAGCGGAGACTCCTGAGTGCGTCTGTGATTTAGGAGGGGCGTTCGGAGGGACGGAGCGGCTCTCGGGCCGAGACCTTGGAGCGAGGCTCAGCCTTGTGGGATGTTTATGGCCGAGCCGCGGGCGCCCCGCCGCCCCGAGTGACAAGCGACAGGCCCTGACAGCTTCTTAATTGCACGGCCGCCCGACAGGCCCTGCCGGCCGAGTGAAATAGAGCGCGGCCGCCTGTAAATCCCCCGCGCCAGTGACAGTCACACGCGGGACTTGCTGGGCACCGAGTGAGTCTCAGGAAGGGACGCAACGGGTGTTTTCCTGATTCGAGTTTGGACGTTGATCGCCCAGATGGAGGTGAAGGGCCGGCTTCCTGGTCTGGATCCGTGTGCTCACGCCCCTCTCCCTCGCCCCTGAGTGCAGGGCGCTGTGCCCCCGCCCCCCCCCCCCCCCCCCAGCACCAGCACTGCCTGTCTTCCTGCCCCGTCCCTGTGGGTGCGCAGGGCCCGTGGGGGAGGCGGACGTGGGAAATGGGCTGTGGCAGGGCCAGTGCCTTTGTTTAACCACCTTCCCCACAAACAGTGTTTGCTCTGCGCGGGCAGAGCCGCCGGAGTTCTGTTAGGAAAAGACGTCGAAGAGGCCGCTGGGTGGGGGTCGGGGTCACAGCCCGAGCTGTTGTGTCGATCCCCGGGGGCTGCCATTGGCGTTAGAAGGTGACGGGCGAGTGGCCAAGAGGAGGTGGGGCTTTCCCAGAGCTGTCAGGACAGCCGGGCAGCTGGACAGCCAGTGCCCTCACCCCAGGGAGAGGCCCCGGGCCTGCTGGCTGAGGGGCAGGGGCAGCAGGAGACCCGGCGGAGCAGCCACTCCCTCCACCTCCCTGCGGGGCGTGAGCTTTCCACGCAGAGCTCCGCTCCCAGACCAGTTCCCCTTACAACCCTCCCCCGTTGGGTGATGTGGTGGCCAGCCCGTCCTGGCCGCTGCCTTGCCACCCACGTGCTGTTCCCCACCCGCATGGCGTTCCCGCGTCAGCACAGGTCCCCCCCTACCCCCCCCCCCCCCCCCCCGCGCGCCTCCCTCGGTGCGGCCGCCTCCCCACTCGCTCCATGTCGGGCCGGGCCCTCCGCCTCCGTGGCCGCCTGCGCCCGAGCTCCCGCCTGCTGGGCTCCCAAACACGCTCTGCTGTCGTCACTCGCCCCGTTTCTCTCTCCCTGGGCACGCCCAGTGGCTGAGCCCGGAGCCCGTGCTCACGTGCTCCTCCGCACGCGTGGGCCTGTCCTGGTCACTCATGACCTTGTGCCTGGACGCGCCTGGGACGGGGAACCCTCACGCGGAGCCCAGGGCTTGGCCCGGATGGACCTGCGCGAACGGTGCTGCTCGCGGCGGGTCACCGACCTCTCGCTCGTCCGTCCGCAGGAGCAGGAGTTTGGTGAAGAACCGCAGGGTCTCCGGCTACTTGCACGACATCCAGGCCCACGCGGCTCCGGGTCTGCCCTCCTCCCGCTCCTCAGGTGTGTGGTCCTCGGCCGTCCTCGTCCCGCGTGACCCGGGCCGGGGTGAGGGACGTGCTCGGGCGCGCGGCTGTGGCCTGTGGTGCCGGGCCCGGGCTGAGGGCTGTCTTCCGTCGGCACAGGCTCGGGGGAGAAGCCCAGCTCCCTGGGCTCCAGCTCTGCGGCGTCCTCCCTCCCCGGGATCTGCAGGGAGCTGATCGGCTCATCCCTGGCCGTCCTCGGGCGGAGCGGCGAGGAGGAGACGGTGGCGGACGGCCTGGTGGACAGCCTCCTGCGGGTGCACGGGGGGCTGCTGGCCATCTCGCAGGCCCACGCCGCCCAGGACGAGGACAGCCCCGACGACCGTAAGCAGCCCCCCGCGCTCCCCGGCACCCCCCCCCCCCCCCCCCCCAGCGGCTCTTTCCTGTGTGGGCGCTTCCCTCTGAACGGCTGTCGTCACAGCCGCACGCGTTCCCGGCGGGTGAAGGTGCGGGTGGCGTGGGGTCAGCTTCTCTCCTGGGAGAGGCCTTCCCACCATCCTCCTTCCTCTCAGTGTTCTCTGCGGACCCCGTGGCCCAGGCGCGGGCGGTGCAGGTGGCCTGCGCCTTCGGGCAGCTCGCGGTGCTGGCCCCGCTCTGGCCGGGGGACGCCCCGCCCGGGCCCCGCGCTGCACGGCTGGGGGAGGAGCTGCGGCAGGAGGTGGAGAAGCTGGGCAGCTACTTGCAGGTGTTCCTGCAGGTCAGTCCGTGTGCCGATGGCGGGGAGGGCGGCGTTGGCTCAGTGTTTGCGACCTTTCCCGTGGGCAGGGCCGGGGCGAGCTGGGGACCAGGCCCTGCGGGTGGACTCGGGCCTGAGCGTGGAGAGGGTGCGGCTGAGGCTGGTCTGCGGCAGAAACGAGAGAGAGAGAGAGAGAAAGAGAGAGAAAGAGAAAGGAGAGAGAGGGAAAGGGAGAGGGAGAGAGACGCCGATGGGCTCCCGGGTTTTAGAGGCAGCCGAGCGGCAGAAAGAGACCAAACCCCGACCCTCCGTTGCCCTTAGGGAAGCCTGCCGGGCGGGCGGCTGTCGGGGTGGGAAAGTTCAAGGGCAAAGACCCCCGTGTCGTCCTCTCTCATCACCCGTGTGCGACTCCCAGAGGCTGCGGTGCCCTAGTCCCTGACCCGGGGGGCGGGGCCGCCTGTCTCTGGCTCTGAGACGGAGGCGCTGCTGTTTCGGGGCGCAGAGCGTGTTTCCCTCCCCGTCTGGTCTGTCCTTTCTTCGCCTCCCGCTCCTGCACCTTGTGCATCTGACAAACGGGTCCCTGTCGCCGGGCAGGGCTGCTCCTCAGACCTCCCGTCGATGGTGACGGACGCGCAGAGGAGGGCCGCGCAGGCCGTCCGACAGGCTGTGGCGTGTGCGGGGCAGCTGGCGGTGCTGAGCGGGAGCAGCCTGCGTCTCCTGGACCCCGGGGCTTACGGGGATGCCGACGTGCAGGTGAGGGGCGCGCGGGGGAGGGGCACGCGGGGGAGGGGCGCCAGCTCCGGGAGGCCGCACCCGGGCGGGAGAGGCTCCTGGCCCAGCATGGCTGAGCTGACGGCTCTCACGGTAGAACGGCCTGTGCTGAGTCGTGTGGGAGGAGATCTAGGGGGGTTTCCGTCTACGCTGGTGCCTGTGCCACCCGCAGGCTGGTGAGTCCTCCCTGCACCTCTCGGTCCTTTCGTTAGGGACAGCGGTTACCGTGAGGGCCGCACAGCCCGTCAGCCAGGGCGTCTGTGTCTGCTGGCTCAGGGCCTGGCTGTGGACACACAGAATCGGGGTGCCTCTGGCTGTGGACACACAGTTTCGGGGTCCCTCTGGCTGTGGACACAGAATCGGGTCCCTCTGGCTGTGGACACAGTATCAGGGTCCCTCTGCTCGGACAACATTGTGTCCCCAGCTGGTGTCTGGTGCCCAGTGACCGACCTGCCCGTTGGCTTCCCGATGGGCTGCTCGTTGGTGTCCAGCTTCAGTTGAATGGAATGAACTCGGAATGTATTCCTGCAATAAGCAGGAGATATGACAATAATTAATTATTTTTAAAAATCTGAAACCTGAGTTTGCCAGTTAACGCCTCAGCGCTTTTCCAGGAGGACCTCGTGGACGCCCTGTGGGACGGAGTCGGCGCGGGGGTGAGGCTGCTGATCGACTCTGGACTCGAGCGGGCGGAGGCGTTGCAGCGTGAGCTCTCAGGGCAGCACCCCCAGAGCGAGGTAACGGGACGAGAGGTTCTAGGGGGTCCCAGACGGTGGCTCAAGTTGGTTTTTAAAAATATATTTTTACTGATGTCAGAGAGGAAGGGAGAGCGAGAGAGAACCACGGACCGGCTGCCTCCTGCACGCCCCCCACTGGGGATGGAGCCCGCAACCCGGGCCTGTGCCCTGACCGGGAATCGAACCCTGACCTCCTGGTTCCTAGGCCGACGCTCAGCCACTGAGCCACGCCGGCCGGGTCACATTGATGTGTGTGCGTGCGTGTGCGTGCGTGCGTGCGTGCGTGCGTGCGTGTGTGTGTGTCTCCATGAATTAGGTGGTTACACACCCATGTGTTTGAATGTGTTCGACTGTGTTCTGTGGAAAGGCTGCTGGGAGCACGCGTCCCTGTGGCCTCTGGTCAGTGCTGGGCTGGTCGGGGCGGAATCCCGCGGGCGGACCCTCAGCCGGTGGAGCGGCAGCGACACCTGCTGGTCATTTTCTGGCTCCTCTCCCCTTTGCTTCCGTCTCTGCTTTTCCACTTACGAGCGCAAACAGCCCCGTATGGGTGCATCGATCGCTGTCCTGAGCCAGGTGTTTGCCGGGTTCACATGGATTATCTCACACGAGACACAGAAGCAACGAGGACTCGAGCGACTTCCCGAAATCCACCTCCTCCCCCTCGGCCCTGACTTCAGGGCCTGACCCGTGCCGTCTCGGGGGGTACCCCAGGGGGCTGGGGCGACCCGGGGCCTGTGTTCACCCCTGGGGTCCCTCTCAGCACTCGCTGACCGTCACCCGGTGCTCTGACCCCGCTCTGACCTGCCGTGCGATGACACCTGGGGCTCAGGGTTCGAGCTCGGCATTTCTGAGCCCCCACTTTGCGAGGTGGGGTCCCCGGGCTGGTCCTGTCCAGTGCCCGAGCCGGGTGGTCTATTCCGTCCGCTGGGGCCCGAGCCCAGCACGTCACCTCCGCGGGTTTCGTGGGTGATTGATCGTTTATGCACCGGTTTCCTTGCTGAGGTCACGACGGGGAACGGAGGGTTCGGGAGATGGAAGGTCCAGTCCCGACTGAGTTCCAGAGACGCGTGTGTCCTGGGATCTTGTCCTAACGCTTGTCAGACCGTCTCCGCCTCCCGCTCTCCTGCGGAGCTGGTCGGGGGCCAGGGCTCCCGCTGCTCTCGCCGCTGAATTGTCGTCCCGGGAACAGGGCTGGTCCCTGACCTCCCAGCCGGCCTGCCTCTCCCGCTGGTCCCTGGAGCCCTTGGGGTCCTGCTTCTGGAGAATCGCGTGGGTAACACGCAGCCTGACCTCTCCCTCCAGGCGGCCCAGCAGCTGCACACGAAGGCCGAGGCGCTGATCGGGTGCCTGGAGACCATCTTTGCCGAGTGGAGAACCGTAAGCCAGGCTCCGGGCGTCTCTGTGTCACTGTCGTGTGTGTCTCCCCTCGGTTCCCGTCGGTCACGCCTATTTCAGTGCCGACCCTTTGCCGGGTGTGGTGACCGTCGGCTCCGTGGCGGCTGAGCGTGGCGTGGACAGGGGCCCGCAGTCGCGAGCTCTGTGTCCGGCTGCCCTGGGCTCAGCTTTGCTGGGAGAGTCGTTACAGGCTGTCAACCTGTGTTTCCCGATCCGTGTGCGCGGAGGCGAAGGCACAGGGGAGCCGGGCAAAGTATGTTACTCCCGTGTCAGGCGTGAGCAGAAATATGTAAACTAGGCATGTTCACGCCACAGGTGAATGGAGAGTTAAACCAGGCATACGCATAATCAGTGTGTGGCATTTTTTTATTTAAATAAAACAAAATTAAACTCTTAACAATTTGATACATTTACCTTTTGTGACGATGGGTGGCGGTGGTTCTGTTTTTTTATTCCGTTTTCCTGCAACAGGGCGATTGGACTTGGGTTTAAAATGAGATGAGAATTCCTCCTCCTCTGGGAACGGCACCCGTTCTCGCCGGGCTGGTCTTGCTGGGGGGAGGGGAGGAGACGGGCTCGTCCCTGTTCTCACCAACACGGGCTTCACTCCCACAGAAAAGCTCCCGCACGCCAGCGCAGGGAGAACCTTCCGGAGGCGGAGCCCTGAGGGAGATGGCTGATCGCGCCCCGGAAATGCTGGAGTTAACACGCTGCTTAGAGCAAACCATTGGAGGGGTCGTTTCTGCCCTGAGAGGTACGTGCTCCGACGGGAGGATCTCGTGGTTAAAGGGGCCGCGGCACCTTCCCTCCTCGTCTAACTTATTAGCCACACCTCCCGACACTATTAACACCGACATGGGAACCCTGTGGCCGATCCCCACGTAACATGTAAGTGCTTCCGCCTGGAAAGCTCAGTCCTTACAAGCACCCCACCTGCCCTGGGCGGCTGGTGTGGCTCAGTGGATAGAGTGTCGGCCTGCGGACTGAAGGGTCCCGGGTTTGATTCTGGTCAAGGGCACGTGCCCGGGTTGTGGGCTCCATCCCCAGTCGGGGGTGCAGGAGGCAGCTGATCCATGATTCTCTCTCATCATGGGTGTTTGTCTCTCTCTCTCCCTTCCTCTCTGACATCAATAAAAGTATATTTAAGAAAAAAAACAAAAACAAACCCACCTGCTTCTTGAGCAGTCGAGCTGATCATGTCGACCGGTTAGAATGGTCACGACGGGGCCAACGACTGACAGACGCCCGGGGAGGAGGGAAGGGTTAGTGACTCTCTCCTCTCCTGCCCAGGATGCCACAGCGACGGGGGCGCCCTCAGGACCTGCGTGGAGAGGGTCTGTGTCTTGGCCGGGGACGGTGGTGCCGACAGCTGTGCCCAGAGCCGTGGGGACCTGACATCCGCGGCCAAGTCCCTCCTCCTCTGCTTCGAGGCCGAAGACAGACCCGACTTGTCGGAACCTTGGAACGCGTGTCCTCAAAACAGCAGAGAGGGCCGCCGGCCGCCCGGGGCGAGCAGGACCAGCCCCGCCGCGGGGAGAGGCGTCCCCAAGCGCCTCTATGCGCTGCCCTCCCGGCCCCCGCGGAGCTCAGGGGAGCGTGCGCCCAGCGGGACCCAGTGGGTGTGAAGGTGAAGGCCGTGGAGAGGGCAGGGGCGGGCCGTTTGCTCATGCGGGAGAAGGTAGGAAGCAAGACATCGGCGTGAATATCTCCCAGAAACCCACACCTGTTGCTGGCCCTCGCTGGGCTGGACGGGCAGGCCCGATGGGCTGTGGTTCCGGGGCCGGGGGCCTGGGAAGGCTCTCGGCAGCCGGTTTAGACGGGCGCAGACGGACACGCTGGAGCGTGGTGAACAGCTGAGCCGAGGAGCATCCCCGTCGCCTCGAGCTCTCCCTGAGTCTCAGACGCTGGTACCTGCCTGCTTGCCCGTGAGCCCGTTCGAGACGGTGATGCTTCTGACGAACGGAGACCCGAGCGGCCCGCTGCCTTCTCTCCCTCGAGGTCGGTGGGAAGTTGCCGGCGCGTTTACCAGCGGCAGAGCCTGGGCTGCTCAAGGGCGTCCTCTGGTGTCTGTCCAGATCGCAGCCGGCGACGCAGGGACCCGCTCACAGCGGGTCAGCTTCCTGTGCCTGTCCCAGCGCGGGGCCGAGCGCAGAGCCAGCTCAGCTCCCGGGGGTCCTGCTGGTTTGCACGGGATCTGATGGAGATGGAGGGTCCGTGTGCCTTTTCACAGTTTACAAAACACACACCATCGTGTCCACCATCAAGTGACAGGCTGCTCCCCCGGGCTCTCCCGTAAGGGACCCCGTCTGACCTTTCGCGCCTCAGCGCGTGCGGTCGCACAGGCCGCCTGGGACCCCGCGGTGACACTGAGTGGCGCCTGGGGCATCCCGACAGCCCGTCCTCCCGCCACTCCTGGGCAGGTGCCAGTGCCGGCTGGCGGCCCTCGGGAACGGGCCTCGCCCCTGAGCGTCCGTTCCCTGGTCGGGGCAGCTGGTGAGCGCGGGCCTCGCCGGCGTCTCCGGGGGCTTCGCGGTGGTGCCGGCAGCGAATCTGCTTTCTTTCTCATATTTAACTCTTGGCGTGGGGGCTGCGCCCTCCTTGACGCGCTGTGTGTGTGTGTTTATAGGCAGTGCCCTGCCGGGTGCCCCTCGGGCTCTGTCCCCGGGAGGACTTCTCCGGAAGCGTCTACCTGTGTGGCGAGCTTGCTAGAACATGGGTGGCGTGGTTTTTAACTTCAGTTCAGGATTTAACCTCTACCTTCTGCTGCCGCACGACTTCAGTGGTCAGAAGCCACTTGGGGTCTTTTGCAAATTGCTGTGTATTTACGTATTTATACTCGAAATAAATTGCTATGCAGTGTGTGAATGCGCAGTGGGAAAGGTACTTGCTGCTGGAATCATGTGCCCAATAAACGTTACAAAGAGAACTCTTACCACATCCTGTCGGCTGCAGACTGTCTCTTGGCCTAAGGTTTTTATGTTTTGTTTTGTTTTGTTTTATTCGCTTTATTCCTGACTCAAATTTGCTATAGAACACCCGGCCGGTGTGGCTCAGTGGTTGAGCATTGACCTCTGAACCAGGAGGTCATAGTTTGATTCCCGGTCAAGGGCACAGGCCCGGGTTGCAGGCTCGATCCCCAGTGTGGGGCGTGAGGAGGCAGCCGATCCATGATCCTCTCTTATCCTTGATGTCTCTCCCTCTCCCTCCCTCCCTCTCTGAAATCAATAACAATATATTTAAAAACAAACAAACAAAAACTCCGGGCTGCAGTGCATTTGGCCTTTGCAACCTTTAACCCTGAGGCTTTCAACCCAGAGGGGCCGCGCCTGCACTTTAAGGTCCTGGGGGACAGGGGGGCTGTGAGAATGTGCTGTCATTCATCAGCGCTGTCCCCTTAATGGCCCCGCTGACAGGCCCCCCTGCAATGGAGAGGGTCGGGCGGGGCCCTCCACACCCGTGAGCAGGTGCAGCAGGCCGGGTGCAGGTGAGCAGCTCCTCACGGGGCTGGGAGGCCGCCGCAGCCACCAGGGGGGCCACAGAGCGGCTCGCGCAGCACGGACCCTCCGTTCACCGGAGTAGCAGAGCAACAGCCAGCCAACGGGGTACTTTGGTGTCAACCCTTTAGTTCTGCTGAAGTGCCTGCTAGCCTGTTGCCTGTCTTAGTTCAGGGGTGGGGAACCTCTGGCCCACGGGCTGTACAAGGTCTGAGAAACCACCTGGTCCCGGCAGGAAAAGGCTCCCCACGGGACAAAGGGGACGCTTCAGCGAATAGGAGTGCAACACGCCGCTGGGCACGTCCGAGGGAGCCACACGCGGGTGCTTTTGGGCCCCCCTCCGCGGGTTTGGACGTGGAGCCGGTGAGTCGAGGCAGCTCCGGGGCCGGGTTGATGTGAAGGAGGACGCGGCGAGTTTGCTCTTTTTCTGATGAAAACAGCACAGACCTGCCCAGGTGGCTGCGGGCGAGGCAGGTGCATCGCGTGGGGCGTGGGGCGTGGGGCATGGGGGCTCCAGCCTGTCGCTTGGGGCGTTCCGTTGATTCTCAGGCCGGGATCCCGCTCTCATTCACGTGTCTTGACCTTGGATGTAACGTCCCGGCCAGTGGGTCTGATACCGGGAAGGCAAGTCCGCCTCCGTTCTCCCCGCGTGTCCAGAGGGCCTCACTCCTCCCAGCCGGCTGGTGTTGCCGATGAACGCTGAGGAGCGGTGCCTGATCTCTGAGGACGGTGTTAGGGCTGGAGTTCCTCAGCCCGTACGATTGAATCTGGTCCCCCCTGCGCCTTCCCCCCCTCCCTTCTCGGCTGCCTGCCCGGCGAACTCTCCCCCGCCCGGGAGGCCCCCTAGGTCCCCGGCTGACAGAGGGGAAGATGGGAAGCGGGTAATCGCTGTCCCTGGTGATCGGTACTGGACATCACGGACGACGCACTTCCTTGTCAGAGCAATTAGAAGGGGGGGGGGGACCGGTCGATGCCTTAAACCCACCAGGGAGGGGCGTGGGCCACTTCAGAGGCAGAAGTCCAGGCACAGGCATGTTAATGGCGTCCGAGTGGCTTAATTGAAAATAGATTGCCCGCACTCGAGGGACGGGTCACGTGGCTGATCCGTGTGTGTGTGTGTGTGTGTGTGTGTGTGTGTGTGTGTGATATCCGTGTGTGTGATCCGTGTGTGTGTGATCCGTGTGTGTATGTGTGTGATCCGTGTGTGTATGCGTGATCCGTGTGTGATCCATGTGTGTATGTGTGTGATATGCGTGTGTATGTGTGATCCGTGCATGTGTGATCCATGCGTGATCCGTGTATGTGTGATCCGTGTATGTGTGTGATCCATGTATGTGTGTGATCCATGTATGTGTGTGATCCGTGTGTGATCTCTCTCTGTGTGTGTGTGATCCGTGTGTGATCTCTGTGTGTGTGTGTGTGTGTGTGTAGAGCTGCATCCCACAAACACAGGTGCAGCCGCCATTGTGTTCTGTGACCCCCCAGCGACCCCCCTTCTGCGGGCTGGTGTGTCACCTGGAGCCACTATCGTCCGTGGGAACCCTGGCGAAGGGACGGTCACAGGTTTGCCAGGTAAAACCTAGATTTTGAGGGACAAAGGGGAGACTCCTCTTCCGCTGTAATGCGCACGTCGGCCACTGGAGGGCAGCGTCTCACAGGAATCCGGCCAGAGTGGCTTTCCCCGGCTTCTGGCTCAAGTCCCAAGTTCACAAGGAACCAAAGCAGCGGTTCCCAACCTTCTGGCCCTTTCAATACAGCTCCTTATGCTGTGGTGACCCCCAACCATAAAAACATTTCCGTGGCGACTTCATCGCTGTCATGTCGCTACTGTGATGAGTCGTCATGTAAACATCTGACATGCAGGATGGTCTTAGGCGGCCCCTGTGAAAGGGTTGTCCGACCGCCAGGGGGTCGCGGCCCACAGGTTGAGAACCGCTGGAACTCTCTGGAAAAGTTCTCTGGTGACATTTTACATCCATTTCCCCCGGGGGGGAGGGGGGCGCCACAGGAACAATGCAGTTGCTGAGGATGTGTTGATGATGAGTGTGCGTCCACGCAGCTCGGGGCTCTGAGTCACCGGGGCCCTTGGAGTGGCTTCCTGGCTTCCCCGTGCACATGGGTCCCGTTGGAGGCTGCGGATGTAAATTCTCATTTTTCTCCTGGTGTGTGTGTGTGTGTGGGGGGGGGGGGGGCATTCATATGGAGGCGTCCTGAGTCAGGGAGAGCCAGCAGGGAATTTCTGGCGTTTCTCAGAAGCCTGTCGGCCTGGCCTGGAAGCCGGGTCTTGCTTTGTTTGCTGTTTAGTTTAATCCGTGTCTAAATGGCTTTTCCAGGGAGCTAAGGGTCGAGTGGGAATTCCTTAGACAGGGACGCCGCTGCCGTATAGGAAACCATCACTGCCGGCCGGAGTGGCTCAGTGGTGAGCGTCGACCTAGGAACCAGGAGGTCAGGGTCCCATTCCCGGTCAGGGCCCAGGCCCGGGTGGCAGGCTTATGAGAAACGCCAGAAGTTCAACCTGGTTCCTAGGTCGACGCTCAACCCCTGAGCCACACCGGCCGGACGCCTTCTCCACGCCCTCGGTAGGTTTCAGAAAACTCACCGGAGGGAATGCCTGTGCCCTGACCGGGAATCGAACCCAGGACCCTTCAGTTCACAGGCTGACGCTCTATCCACTGAGCCCAGCCAGCCAGGGCCCGACTGCGGGCGTCTTAATGCATGGTCTCCAAGTCGGGGGTGGGGGGGGGGGGGGGAGACGCACAGCGGGCGTTTAGCAGCTGTTTCGCAGATATGAGCAAAACGGGGGCATGGAAACATTTTCCGAGAAACGCTTGTCCGTTGAGTTATTAAAACAGGACTTTCCGGGCCCCGGCCGGGTGTCCCAGTGGTTAGGGGTCGTCTCCCTACACCGAGGTTGTGGGTTTGATCCCTGGTCAGGGCACATACAAGAAGCAACCAATGAATGCGTGAGTTCGTTTCTCTCTCCAATCAGTCAATCAATCAATCAATCAGAATAGGGCTTGACTAAAGGCACTCACGCCTCCAGGCTCCTCACAGGGAACCAGCCGGTCACTTTTCCGAGAGACGTTGTAAAACCCACACACGCTCCCCCATCCCCTTCCTTCAAACAGCATCCCAGAAATGTATTGCCCGTGGGAGAAAGTTAATTTCTAAAATGTACATTTTTCATCTCCCCCGCGTCCATTCACTATGTTTCCCTCTGGTTTTCAATGTAAAAATGCAGATTCCTGGCCCCCCTCCTGCTTTCGTCTTTAACCTCCCCTGTTTGTTGATGTTGCCATCACCCGGGTGTCAGGCGCTGTCTCCCAACGCCGCGTGTCACACGAAAGCAAACACAGCCCCGGTCCATTAACGAGGGGCTGAGATCAGGTAACCAGGGCCATGATTCCATGCCCCCCCCCCACACACACAGAAAACATGACCCCACCACCCAGCCTGCTCCAGAGTGAAAGGCCCCACAATTACATACGGCAACGAAGTTCAGGGTGGGCGCCTGGGATTGTTTCAATGTTCCCTGTCCGCCCACTTGCATTTTACCTGCGATTTAATATATACTAATTATATATATTAATATACACTGAGCAGCCAGATTATGATGACCGCCCCATCAATACAATGAAGTGAATGAGTTATGCAAATAATAATAATAATAGCCCTGACCGGTTTGGCTCAGTGGATAGAGCGTCGGCCTGCGGACTGAAGGGTCCCGGGCTCGATTCCGGTCAAGGGCATGTACCTTGGTTTCGGGCACATCCCCAGTAGGGAGTGTGCAGGAGGCAGCTAATCGATGTTTCTCTCTCATCGATATTTCTAACTCTCTATCTCTTTCCCTCCCTCTTTGTAGAAAATCAATGAAATAAATATATGTGTGTGTGTGTATATATATATTTATTTAAAAATAATAAAACCTTGAGAGTATTTGCTTAGGAAGTTTTCAATATCCAGTATTTTTGGAAGTGTCCATGAAGTACTGATGGGGTGGTCACCATCATCTGGCCACTCAGTGTATATCAAAATGCCTATTTTATTATTGTTTTAAAATATATTTTTATTGACTTCAGAGAGAGGAAAGGAAGAGAGAGAGAGAGAAACATCCATGATGAGAGTCATGGACCTGCTGCCTCCTGCACGCCCCACACTGGGGATTGAGCCCACAGCCCGGGCACGTGCCCTGCCCGGGAATCGAACCCGGGACCCTCCAGTCCGCAGGCCGACGCTCTATCCACTGAGCCACACCAGCCAGGGCCTCCCTCATCACTGATGTTTCGACGTCTCCCTCCCTCTCCCTTCCTGTCTGAAATCAATTTAAAAACATTTTCTTTAAAAGGGCGCAGCAGAGATTTTTAGCCAAAGCGACAGATGCCCGCCCGTGGGACGCGGGCTTCGCGCAGAGGTCGCCACGGAGAGGCCCATGC